TGTCTTCCTCTGGTGGCCACTAGGTGGTAGCATTGGCCTAGGTCAGCTTGAAGACTTGCTCAGGTTGGTTCCTGGAGCCAGCCACCCAGGATTCTCAAAAATCAGGTGTTTATGAGTCAAGACTGCTTTCTTCTTTATTTTTTAAACGACATTCTTGAGTTAGAGACTTAAGCATACTTTTAAAAACAAGGGTAGGGGATAGTTTGCATTTCCTTTTAAAATGATTCAAGTAGAGTTGGATTGGCTGTCTCACTGGTGTGAGCTGCTTGTCCTTCTTTCGGTCTGTGTTTCTTTGACTTTTGAAAGAATGGAGTTCTTCAGATCAGCATGGAGACAGACCCTTAAGAAACAAAGCAGCGCCATAACCTCTCATCCAAGGCTGAGAGCAGCCGGAGAGGGACAGTAGTGGGAGCCAGGCTATCCAGCCCTCCCACCAGGGCCCTGATGTCCCTCATGCTCGGGGTGTGGCGATTTGTGCCAAAGTGCCCTTGCATCTGGTTCCTTTGAGTTTGTAGAGCAGCTCAAGGGTATATCGCACATCTAAAAATACTGCCTTTAGCTCTAGTAAGCACTTTATTTAAAGGAATAAAAATTTAAGGAATGAAACATTTATACTTCTGTAAGGTATTCGACATCAAGATAGTGTTTTCACTGAAAACTGTGTTCACAGAACAACCTTTCCTGGCTAGTGTGTAAAGCATTCTAACTAAAACTTAATTGTTTGATTTTTTTTTTAATTATGCAAAGAATAGGCTTGGCGTCCATGTTCTAAGTGGCTTCAGCTGTGGCTGTGATCATTTGTGGTCACAGAGGCCAGTGTGTTCCTGTTTGAGTTGTGGCTTTGTTGAGAATTAAGAGGCTCATAAAGGAAGCCATAGAAACCCTGAGTTCCCCAATTGCCGTGGTACAGGAAACAGGACAATTAGTCAGCATCCATTGTCCCCATTAGAGTGTTTAAGATACACTTTCAAGACAATCTGAAAACATCACGTGGCCCGATTATGTGGTCGTTCCACATCAGGCACACTCTTGTCAAGGTTCCCTTTAGGAACAATTGTAGGAAGAACATTTTTGCAACTTTCATAAAATACCTTTCTGTGACATGGTCCTTAGATTCCAAGCCCTTTATGTGACAGTCAGAAGTGGATACAGGGAGGGCAAACCCTGTCTCTTCTGGTCCCCTTTATTTGGTCCACTGGCTGAGTGGCCATGCTGGGAGCCATCCTTAGCCATGGTTAAATTCACAGGTGCCACAGGTCGGGTTCAGGACCCCATGCTGGCATCACTGGGAGGAGCGGTTTGCAAGTCCATGCCCACGTGACTTTCATTGCAAGCTCCTGTTTGAAGTCACTGTAGGTTTCTTGTCCGAGCCACTGTGTGATCAGCTCTGCTTAAGGTGCTGCTCTGCAGAACTGCCCCCCAGCTTCTTCACATGCCCCACGGTGAGTGGCCTAGATTCCACCCAGCCTCTGTTCCCACCCCAGCCGTGGAGACACTGTCCCTCCACTGCCTGGCCCTTTGTTGGAGGGCCTCCCAAAGGGAATGCCATTGTGTGCCACACCCCAGCGTGCTGAATCACCCTGGGGCGGGGCCAGGACAGGAGTAATTTGTGAAAGCCCCTCCCCCCACGATGCTGATGTACACCTCCCACCAAAACCACACTTGGAATGATTCTATTGTATCTTTTATTTATTTTTTTTATTATTGTAACCCACCTGAGATTCTTAGACAAGAGCCAAGCAACAAAACTGACATTTTAAATTCAATGTGGGTTAAAGCATTATGGAACACATTTGTTGTCTTTTGGTAACTTTTTGTATTACTCAGATCATGCATCCCTGCTTCTGATGACATTTTCAATGAAAAGGGCAAGGTGGAGGTGTTGGGGTGGGTGGAATTTTATAAGTGATTGAATATGTTTCTCGGCACTGCCGGTCCCAGGAATTATTTTTTTATTAATATTTGAGATTTCCTGTCACTGTCTACAGAAGAATGTTGTTTTACCTGGAGCTTCTCAAATACGTTGATAAGAGACCTTGTCTTCCTGCATGTACCTTCTACACAGTTGTCACATTCTTTGAATTTTCTCTTTCTGCACCAGGATGTATCTGTAGGTCTCTGAAGCCTCATTCTCAGGCCCGCACTCTGCTTTGTCCTCATCCCTTCCAGAGCCGAGTTATTTTACAAGCTTTGCTGGTTTCCCAAACCTCAGTCTCTGCCCTGACATTTAGTGCTGATTTTCCATTTATCTTGGACTTGCTCCTTTTAGGGCAAATGCTGGATGCATATCTTGGGCATCACCTGGGAGACTGAGGGACTGCTGGCACCCGAGTCTGCATCTTCATCAGTTCCCAAGGACCTCTGTGTACACGTTGCACTGGGACCCACTGGTCTGTGGGGCGTCTCCCCTCCACCCTCTCTCTCATCCCATCCTGTCTCCTGCTCCCTCCCATCCACGTTTGTCTCTCAGCTCTTGTTCCAGACTGGAAATCGTGGCTTTGTTTTCTGTTTGATTCTTCATTTCATTTTCTATTCATTCAGATACTGACTGACTGCCTCCCAGAGCTAAGTGTTAAAGATAACAGTCAGCAAACCCAGACCTGATTCCTGCCTTTGTGGAGCTCAGTGTCTAATGGGAGAAGCAACTGTTAAATACTCGCTGAATTGTACGTGTGAAATTCTGTGAAATTTGGATGAGAACTGAAGAGAAAGCAAGTCGTGCAGACAGGACTTGCATCTCAAACAAGGGGCAGCACATGCAAAGGCCCAGCTCAGTAGAGGAGGTTTATAGGGGATTAAGAAAGGATTTACTTGCCCTTAAGACCTTCATCTGTGTTTCTTCTTCCTCCTCATCCTGTCAGATCTACATCTTCTCTGTTCCTGGGATTGAGGGCGTGCCCCTCTGCACTGGGCTGCTGTTGTTTTAAAAAATTTATTATTAAATACAATGTTGTGCTAGTTTTCCCCTCACTATGTTAAAATACCCAACACAGGCTACAAATGAAAACAAAAGGTTTATTTAACTCAGTTTTGGAGGTTCAGGGGCATGGCGGTAGCACTGACTCAGTTCTTTGCTGCATCACAGCCTGGGGGATGGCAGTGGCGGGAGTGTGTGGGGGAGCCAGGGTTGCATCTCAAACCAGAAGCAGAGGGAGGGGACCGACAGCGTCAGGCCTGTTCCTTTAATAACAGCCCTCTTGAGAAAGCTACCAAAGGGGTCTCATAAGAAAGACCTCTCACTCCCAGTGATCTAGGGACCTCCGGCCAGACCCCACCTTCCAAGGTTCCACCGACTCCCAGCAGCGCCACCTGGGGGCCAACCCCTCAATCGCAGTGGAGCCCCGGGGACACACACTGTATTCAAAGCATAGCAAACTTACATGCAGAAAAATGTCCGAATCACGAATGTGATGGATTTTCAGAGTGGGAACAGGAGCGTGTTAGCATTCGCACCCAGACAGGCTGTGGAAAGCACCAGAAGGCTCCTTGGGAGCACTTTGGCACTCTGAGCAGAGGGACTGCCACTCTGCCTTTGATCCGCCTTGGTTGGTTTTGCCTGTTGAACTTTATGTAAGTGTAGTGACACGTGACCTGTTGCAGCCATCTTCTGTTATCCAAGGTAGCATTTGAGAAATTCTTTTCCTGTCGTCGTCAATGGCAGCGGTAGTTCATGTCTGTCGCTGGCTTTGTGACAGCGACAGACATGAACTACCGCTGCCATTGACCCGTATGACCACCAGACTGCAGTTGGTGGGTTCTATGGTGGATGGTCATAGTAGTACCCGTATGACCACCAGACTGCAGTTGGTGGGTTCTATGGTGGATGGTCATTTAGGTGTTTTTCAGTGGGAGAGAGGCATTTTTCAGTGTGGGACTGCTATGGAGATTCTCACATGTATCTTTTTGTGAATAAATGTACATTTTTCTGTTGGGAACGGACCAGGTCTGGGATTGTCTTGTCACAGAATGTGCATATGTTCAGTGTAGTAGATATTGCCCAGCAGTTTCTTGAAGCAGTTGCTCTGATGGATGTTCCCGTCAGCAGTGCATGAGCGACACCCCCCACCCCTCCACAGCCTCCTAGGAGGTCATGTGACCTGCAGGCTCTGGGCAGGTGTGTGGAACTATGGCTTTGTGGTTTCATTTTGCATTTCTTTCACAAATCATGTGGTTGAAAACCTGATTATGTTTTCTTCCCATTTTCTAGTGTTTTTTTTTTTTCTTTTCCCTTACTGAGTTGTAGAACACTTCATGCAGTCTTTATAAAAATCTGTATGTTGCAGTTATCTTCTCCTCTGGGTTGTCTTTTTGGTCTTCTAAGTGTGGCCTATTAATAAGCAGAAGTCTTTCATTTTATACGATCAAATTTATCAGTAAACCTGTTCATGTTTTAAATCATATTTAGGGCACACTTACTTCTGTAAAACCTGAGGGTAGACTACACAAAAACGCAAGACAGCAAAGCCTAAATAAGAAATCTAAAGCCTGGGAAGTTAGAAGAAATTAGAAGAAGAAATAGACCTGTGAGATAATAAGACAGACAAATAAGCCATGTAATTCTACAAGCAGGTTATAATTGAGCAGTCCATTTTGCTTGATCAATGCAAGTGGAAACCTGGTTTGTGTACACTTTTCTTTACCTGTTTCTCAGATAAGATTGTATCAAAAAAACAAAAAGAAGTTTGAAAACCACCAAAGAGAATAGAAAGATCACCTGTGAAATGATACCTCAACAATGTGAACGGTAAGAGAATCACCCACGTCAGCGTAGACCAAAGTGTACACTTCTGAGGCGAGCTTCAGAAAATCACATTTGTCTTCCTCCCAGAAAGACTCTCGAGAGAGTTGAACAATAAAATTCTCCAAGTCGGCATAAAGAAAAAAGAGGAAGAAAAAAAAAAAAAAAGCCAACAGTGGTGAAGGGCCTGGGAAGGCTAAGGTGTTCACAGGTAGCTGGTAATTTGCACATGAACTCACTGACGGTGTGTTTCACCTTACAGGTTACTCAACGATAGTTATGACCTCCCGGTTACGCGCGTTGGGTGGAAGAATTAATAACATACGCACCTCCGAGTTACCCAAAGAGAAAGCTCGATCGGAAGTCGTCTGCAGCATACGCTTTTTAGATGGCTTGGTCCAGACCTTTAAGGTTAACGTAAGTTCTCCACCTTTGCTTTCAATGCATTAGTGCTCCAAGGAAACGGTTCTCATCTCTCAACTTACAAAATGAAGAAAAAGATGATTTTAAGATGAAAGTTGAAATGTCAGGTCTGGTCTCTTGAGACTGGACTGGAAATACTCCTGGAGCCGTATCCCATGCCTCGCTGTTGCCCTCTCCTTTGTGACGTGACCCGTAGGGGTCTTGGCTGCTGCTGCTCCTGTGAAGTCCCCGCCGACCTCCTGAAGCAGAGCTGGTTCTGAACAGTGGTGCCGTGCGGGTGCCTCCTTGGATCCCACGTCACGCTGCAGTTTTAAAACATGATTATAATCATTAGATTACGTGTCACCTACTAAACTGTGGGCTCCTGGAGGACAGGGAGGGTGTCCTGGCTGGCACCGGGCTGGGTACACAGCAGGTGATCGTTAAATGTGTGAATGGGTGGGTCCTAAGACGGGCAGCAGGAGTCCTGGAGATCCTGGCTTTTCCCACTTAGCCCTTGGCAGAGCCAGGGTTGGGAACAGGCCTCCAGGCCAGCAGCTGTCAAATGTGGGGACGTAGCAGCCCCTGATGGCCATCCACTCTGGCCACTGTCTACGGTGACCTTTGCCTCTCTCCCATCTTCTGGCCAGTCCTAAAGGGCTCAACCCCAACCTTGAACCTCAGAAGGCCTAGTATGTGAGGAAAGGTGTGAAACAGAGACACACAGGAGAACAGTCTGGGGACCCAGAGCCCCTGCAGCTCCCACCCACCCACAAGCTTGCCTCCTGGTGACCCCAGGGGCCGGGACCTTGGTGCAGGGAAGAGGAGAGGAGCCCAACAGCATCATGGGTGCTCTGTCTTCTCCCACACTGGGAAAGGACCACCACCAGGAGCTGGGCCCTGGGCATCTGCCCAGGAGAGGACGAGACTCAGGTCATGGGCATTTGGTCTCTTGACCACAGAATGGAGGTGGTCAGTGGAGACTGTTGTCCTCCGGGCTCTATAGCTGCTTCCTCAGCTCCCAGACCTCCAGTTCTTCTTTTGAGGGTGGGAAATATTTTTGTAGCAAGAAAGGAAAAATCCAGCAGGGGACTTCAGTTGTCTAGTTAGTTGTCTCCAAAGTCTGATTAGGGGGTTCACATAGACCCCTGCGACCTGGTGGTGGTTGTTTTGTTTTGGTGCTGGGGATCCAACCCAGGGCCTCATGTGGGCTGGGCAAGCCTCTGCCGCCCCCCTGGGAGGGGTTTGTGAAGCTCCTCCCGCAATCTCCTCACAGGCTGATGCTTTAGGCCCTTTTGGCAGGGTCTGGCACATTTCCTCCAGAAAGCAGCTACTTTGGTTCTTATGTAGAGTTTCCTTTTCAATAATATGAAGCCCTGAGAAGGTCCCGGGTACTGTGTCTGGATGCTGCAAGGTGACCGTGTAACATGTGTCTGACTTCCTTGTTAAAGTCTGTTTGTGTTGGGGGCATTCCTCTTCCATATGGCTTCTTCCTGACCCCACGGTGAATGTTCTCTAGTAGGTTACTCATTTATCCATTCAGCAAGTGTTTACTGAGCACTAACTCTGGGCCAGCCTTTGTTCTGGTTACCGAGAAAATCATAGTGAGCAAAATAGAGCACAATCACTGCCTCTTGAAGTTTACAGCCCAGTGGGAGGAGATGGGTGGGACTGTCAGTTTTTAGACATGATTGGGGGGGGGGGCCTCACTCGTAAGATGAATGTGATGGTCTGGAGGAAGCACATTCCAGGAAGAAGGAATAGCAGTGCAAAGGCCCTGAGGCTCCTGAGGCCCATGTAGTGAGATTGTGGAACAGTATAGACGCCAGTGTGTCTAGAGTGGAATAAGCAGAGAGTAGCAGGAGGTAAGGTCAGAGGGAGAACGGGGGTGAGAATGCAGTGGGGGCTCGTGGAGAGCCTCTCAATCCTTCTGGGAGCGCCAGCTTTCACACTGTGTAGCTTTGGACAGAGACTTGACACGATCTGGCTCAGGTGTCACTTGTGAGGCCATGTGGGCAGTAGCCAGGGAAGGAAAGGGCCGAGGGACTGTGGACAGTCTCGGGAGAGATGCTGATGAGGGGGCAGAGTGAGCTTGTGGAGGTGGCTGAGCGGAATCCACGTCTGGAAACACTTTGAAGATGGAGCCAATAGGATTTGCTGAGAGCCGGGATCTGGGGTGTGAAAGACTGAGAGAGGCCTCAAGGTGACGCCAAGGGTTTTGGCCTGAACAGCCTGGCAGCACAGAGTTGGAGTTTACAGAGATGGGAAGGAAGGCTGCGGGAAGGGCAGGTTTGGGGTTGGAAATGACCAGTTTGGTTGTGGACATGTGAAGTTTGAGGGGCCAATTATCCGTCTCCATGGAAACGTGGAGATGAGGATAGAGGCACCCGTCAGGCTGGGGTTATGAATGCGGATTTCACCAAGGTGGAGGCAGTGGGTCAAGCCATGAAGCTGGGTGAGACCACCTGAGAAGTGAGTGGGAAGAAGACAGGGCTAAGGCCTGAGGTTTAAAGTGGGTAGAGGTGGCAGTGCTCGGGAGGCTGAGGGGGACCATCTGGGGAGGCAGGAGAGACCACGCAGCAGTGTCTGAGGAACTCGGGTATAAATGCATTTGTCGGAAGGAGACCAGCCCAGTGACAAGGCCAGGGCCTGCCCGGAGCGCTGGCCGTGGGTCTCAGAAGGGGCCCAGAAGTTCTTGGTGGTCACATCATTGTTCTCCTGCTGCCACCACCTGGAGCTTGCTGTGGCCTGGTCCAGAGCTGACCTGGCGGAGCCCGAGGGCCTGGCTGCGGATCAGAATGTCCCTCGCATTGTGTGGGAGGCGGACATAGCATGTGACCAGGCTTGCTTCCTCTCCTGATCGGTGTGGCCCTGTCGGTCACCCCATGATCTGGTTGCTTAAGTAACCAAAAACGGTAGCCCTGATCTTGAGGATAGAGAAAACGCAAATGTGCTTCGCGCATGGGCCTGGGTGGAGCTACGCTCGCCTGTTCCTTTGAGATACTACCCCTTGCCCTGTTTAGGACAGAATGTTCCATGGAAACGCCCTTTGTGTGTCCCCTTCTCTTGCTCTGCCCTTGGGTGTGGCCTTCCTAGATGTCAATCAACCTGCTGACAGCAGACATCATGAAGCTAGACTCAGCCCCCTGAAACCTGACCCCCTGCCTCATTTGAATGGCTTCTCCTCAATAAAAGGAATCAGCACATGCGGGCTCTCTCTCTTTCTGCGGACCCTTAAGGTCAGAGGAGCCATCACAGAACCCCCAAAGGAAAAGGTATTTCTGTCTCTCGTGCGGTTATTTCGTGCAGCCCAGTTCCCCTGGAGTGACCCTGAGTGTTTAGTCGCGTGGAACGCGACAGGTGGCGTCCCTGGGTGGGCAGGTGTGTTCCTGCCCGTGGGATGGCCGCGCAATCTCCCCCGACTCTAGCCTGGACCGCTGTGCTAGGAGCGTCCCCGGGGAAGCTGGCTGGATGTGAGCCATTCCCACCCCAGCCAGGAGCCCAGGGGGCCGCTGGCAGTGAGCCAGGGCAGAAGAGGTGACCTCTTGTGTGTGGGGGGACAGGCCAGTCCTTATTAGAAATGTGTCTTTAATTCTATTCCAATTTCTTTCGAGAGTTGGGTGAATCATACGTAATTGATCCCTGTGTGCTGGAATCATGCACTGGAGGTGTGGTGCGGGGAGCACTTGTGCCCTGGTGTCAGTGAGACCCGAGTCGGGGTGATGGTGCAGGGCGTGGAGCCCCTCGGTGCCTCTGCTGCTCCCTGGTGAAGGGGCTGCTGATGGCTGTTTTGCAAAATGACCACAAATATTGGAGGTCAGATGTGAAAAGTGCACCTGGTATTATATCTGCTGCTTGCAGACTTCCAGTAAGTCACAGCTGTTAGCAATGCGTAGTAAATGTAATATGAAGTCATATTTAAGTAATGAATAGCAAGGGGAGCAGATAGCTCTTTGATGCACTGACTTTTTAAGTCTCCTTGTCCCAAATGTGGGACGCCTATTAAAACTTAAACTGAATAACAGGTATACCACTTAGGGTGACTTTTGAAATAAATACCATGTTTTTATTTATTTTTTTCAATTTCTTCCTTTTCTACAAGGCATAAAACCCAGGGTTTTACATGTGCTAGGCAAGTGACCCACCACTGAGCGGCATCCCTAGCACTGTTTTATATTTTATTTTGTGGCAGGGTCTTACTTAGTTGCCCAGGCTGACCTTGAACTTGTGATCCCCCTACCTCAGCCTCCCACGTAACTGGGATTACTGTAAACTGGTGTGTGCCATTGTGCCCAGCTGATACTGCTTTTAGAGTTCTGTTCCTCTGAGAAAAGTAACAGGTGAATGACAACAGTGTTTGAAAAAATGTCTCTACCTATTTCATGTACATACGTAAGGGCATTGAAGCCCTCGATAATGATTTTCAACCTACGTTAATGAGCCTGTGTCAGTTTTGTGGAAATATCCTCACAGTTGTAAACTCGGGGATGGGATTAGGGTTAGGAGAGCCCCCTACAGCTTGGAGGGCGAGTGTCTCAGGACTTGGGATGTGGGGCCTGATCCTTCTTCCCGCACCCACCCAGATTCTCTTGGGGTGGGCGAAGTCCTGGTTGGACGAGGGGGCAGGACGGGCCAGAGGTGTGTTGGGAGATGTTGTATCTTGAGTTCCCCTTGCTGAACAGATCCTGTGAGGCTGCAGGAAGGGCCTGACTGTTATGGAATTCTCCTGGTCCCGGTCACCACGACCTATTTCCAAGTCCATTATCTGTTGTCAGGCACTCAAAAGAAGAGCTGCTCCTGCCGCGTCTGTGCCCTGTCCATTTCTGACTCACGTTGTCCCCATATTAAATGTTTTGGTTCAAAGGATTCCTGAGAAACCTGCCTGTTAAAATAGAATTTGTGATTTCCTGAACATGCCCGGCTATTTTTGCAGCCACGCCCCACCCCACCTGCCCTTCTAGCTTGCCTTTGCTGTGCCTGGCCACCCAGCCGTCAGCCTCAAGTGCCTGCACACCTAGAAGTGTGTGTCGTCCTCGGCCCTGTCATCCTTGCAAACCCAGATATCAGGGGTTGCTTCTGCTTGTCCCCAGGGGAGCTGACCGTTTGTACCGTCCCCTTGGGTTCAGCGTACTCAGCGGGACTTAATAATCCTTGTTACAGCCACTGCTTCCACGGCCAGCAGGAGAGGGACGCTGACCCTGGCTCTGTCCCATGCTCACACGCGCCTTTCTGTAAACACCGTGTGGTGAAGCGGTGCTGTCCCACTGTGGAGTGAAGCGTGGCTGAACATCCTGCCGGCTCCTCAGCGAGGCAGATAATCCCACAGGGCGACACAGGCCAGCTCACTCTGAGGGTATTTCCAATGGCATTCAAGTATTTTTAGCAGCTGGTCAAGAGTTTTCCTCCCCCGGGTGCGCACACTCCTGGGTCCCTGCAGGGGCAGGAGCCACTGGCGTCCCAAGGAGCCAGCAGAAGCTGACCCTGGATTGGTGTTCTTGGCGGGTGATGCTTGGTCAGGTCACGGTGAGGTTGCTGTGGTCATAGTGTGTGGGTTTTCTGGTTCGGACCCACCCCCCTGAAGCCTCAGCTGGGGGAAGGAGAGCTCAGAAAGCCAGCTCATACCGTCTCACGTGGAATTTACCTAGTATGGTCTCAGCCCTCCTCCCGAATGCGCTGTGCAGCCTTGTCACTTGGAATTTGAGGTCACTTTGGTTACTGTGGGAAGTGCACGTGTGTCAAGTCTCTGGCTGTATCCGCTCCCTTCAGTGGGCAGTGGAGAGGCTGTCACTACCAGTTCTTAACTTGCTTTCAGATTTTTCCCATTCTATTTTTATTTATGTATTTATTTATTTATTTTCCCCCTAGAAACAAGACACTGGCCAGTCGCTGCTGGACATGGCATACACCCACCTGGGCGTGACTGAAAAGGAGTATTTTGGTTTGCAGCATGGCGGCGACTCGGTGGACTCCCCCGTAAGTGCCAGCCTGTAACATGTGCTGAGCTCCTGCCCAGGTTGGTTTTATAGCTTGTGTTTTCTTACCAACAGAGATGGCTTGAGTCAAGCAAACCCATCAGGAAGCAGTTGAAAGGTTGGTGTGATCTTTTCTTTTCAGTCCAACATTTGGTGTGTGGGGACTTGTTTCTTCCAGTCAGCAGGATGCCTGTCACACCTGCTACCCAGATGCCAGGGGACTCGGGAGACAGGGGTGAGCTGCCTGCTCCCCATCCAACTTCTGAGTTAGCAGACGTGCTCGCAGATCAGCCTCAGGGTGCTCGGCCGGCTGTGGGCGAGGAGGGGACAGACCAGAGTAGGTATCTCAGGGGAAGAAGGAAGGCCTTTCTCAGCCCAGGGTGAGAGCCGGGTGGGAAAGACAGACACATACCAACTCTTTAATGTTCCACCATCACGGTTACAGTTCCTGGAAGCTGAGCCCTGGGTAGATAATGTCTCAGACGTAAAAGATCAGTCCTTTCACAATATGGCGTTCCCACCACGAATGGCTCCCCGTGCTGTAGGTCAGCTCCCAGGTAGCTCCCAGCCACGCCTCACCCACACTGCCTTGATCTCTTCTTAGCCTGGTTTTCCACCATACTGTCATTTTCCCATCAGGGCCCCTCAGACCCCAGACAGACCTGGCCAGTGTGCAGTGCCTTCCCTCCATCTGTTCCCTCCCCCGAGAATGGATGCCCCTGTCCTGTGCCTAACTCCTGCTCTGTGTCAAGGCTTCCAGACCCCCTCTCCTCCTACCAGAAGCCATGGCCTCTCTGTCTTCCCTTCCTGTTGCACTGCCTGCTTTGCGGCTGCACACTCTGGCCCTCGTCTCATGGTCTTGTGCCCTTGGCTTCCTCTCAGAACCATGGTTTCTTGAGGGTTGGATCCTTGCTGCATTCCTCCCTGCATTGCTCCTGGTGCCTGACAGACAGGAGGTGGCCAGCGAGTGGCTGCGGGGTATCGGGCAGGTTAACAAGTGTACAGACACATAACGCCCTCTCCGCCTGCCCCAGGCCCCAGGTGGGAAGAGCAGACAGAAGTAGTCGTGGCTCTGACCCTAAGGCTGCCCTCTCCTGGAGCCACCTCAGAGTTCTTCCCTCCTGTGATCGTGACCTTAGTGTTCAGGAGCACCCAAGGAATGAGCACACACGAGGCAGGACACAGGCTGTCGTGGGTTTTCTCACTAACTCATTCTTGAGCAAGCAGACTGCAGTAAGGCACTGGGCTAAGTGGTGGAAATCCAGCCCAAAGCAGATGTAGACTCCACCCCCAAGTATCTCACAGCCACGTGTGGAAAGAGACAAGAGGAGAAAGAGTTCTGTGATGTACTAAGCTAGGAGGCCTTGGGTGTGCAGAGGAGGATGAGAAAGTCAAAGCAACCAGGCCCAAGACAACAAAAGTGCCCAGCTGCAGAATGGGGACCAGGAGGGGTGGAAGAGCATCCCAGGGCAGGGGAGGACTTTGCTGTCCCCTGAGTGCTCATGGTCAGCCTGCGCACAGCTGCAGCACCACCCGCTGGCTCTCAGGCACATTGCACAGAGGTGCACTCGGGGGCACATCTACCATCAGGAATTGAACACCAGCAAACAGTGAAGATAGATGGTCCTAAAGAGAGGGGAAGGTGGAGCCTAGGATGAACCAAGGTAGAAGGAGGCGAGCCACGGACCAGCGAGGGGAGCAGGCTCGGGAAGGACTTGACTTCAGAGCAAACAGTGCTGAGCACAGAGACGGGACCCGAGCAGAGCATGTTCACCAAGTGCAGAGGGAAGGCGAAGTTGACAAGATGTTGGGATCTTAGCAACACCGTCTTATCTTCTGTTGCCATGTCGATCAGAAGCAATGGACTAATTTTATCCACACAAGTGAACTGACTGGTGTTGATGCACAGTCGGATTTGAGTATGTGCTTTGTGTCATACTCACTACATATTAATCATTTTAATCCACGTTGCATGGAAAGCATGAAATGTTTTCCAGTATAAAAATGACTTTGAAATGTGGAATAGCAGTCACAAAACTCAGTGCCCCAATTCTGGGTTTCTCACTAGCTGTGTGACCTAAGGCAAGTCACATTTCTAAGTCGGTTGGCTTATCTGTAAAGTGGGGTCATCTATCAGTAGCAGCTTAGCCTACTCACAGTCATAACGGTGTTTACATTCTAGAATGTACATGAAAATGTTTCATCGCTGTATTAATGTGAGCTAGTACTTTGTGAATTGATTTAAAGATCTTAAGAATCCCTGGTAGAGATAAGGGAGTGTATTGTGTGAACACAGCCTAAGTTAAACGGGATTGACATTAGCACTGCCACAGCCTCTGCTGCCTCAGTGTTCAGCCTTGTGTTGTATGAAGGCTTCATGTTTTGTAGACTTGGGAGTTTTCTGAAACGGTTAATTTATGCACTCCTTATTGGAAATTAGTCCTCTTATAATGGAAAAACTATGGTTGAGCTTAAAACTGTGATTGAGTTTATGGGAAGAGTAGTAACTTGTATGCATTGACTTTTTTTAAATGGGGAATCTAATGTGTTTTTGAAAAATGTTGTAGGAGGTTTCCCCTGTACCCTGCATTTTCGAGTAAGATTTTTTATACCTGATCCCAACACACTGCAGCAAGAACAAACCAGGTAATAACATTTTCTTAAAGTCTTCTACTTAATGTATAAAATGTATTCTTCATTTTATGGTAACGGTCAGATGACTTCATTTGGGTATAATTGCACCATCAATTATGATTGCAATTAGAGTTTGGGGTACATATATTGAAATTTTGATTGGTGAATTAGTTTTCCACTGTGGGCCCCTTCCTCTCACCTGCTTTGGTGCCATTTCCAGCACACTGCTTCCCCTCCTCCCTCCCCCTCCTCCCTCCCCCTCCCCCTCTGTGGCCTCTCATCAGTGGACAATGGAAAGCCTATCCACTGATGCATGCTGGGTTTCGGAGACAAATGTGTAGAACAATTGTCTGCAGGTCACCTAGCACAATATCTCTGAAGAACAGGAATCCAGGCCCTGGAGGATGACAAGACACTGCTGTAATCAGATGTTTTGATCAGGTCCCAGTTTTCAGGGGCTGGGAGGGGAACAGGCTGGATTCAGCCTGTCACTGAACCAGCAGGTGCAGGAAGCTTGGGAACCAGATAAGGAAGGAGGCCATGGTGGGAGCTGTTTACCCCCCAGGGCTGGAGTCTGTGCTGGCTCTGGTGGTGCTGGCAGGTGGGATTTCTGGGTGGGGAACAGGGCATTTAGAATGGGAGTGGGCAGCGCTGGAAAGCTGCTGCTGTCAGAGCGTGGGCTGTGCCAACACTCCACCCCACCCTGCTCCGTGGCAGCATCAGCCCCTTTATTACCCATCCATTTACTGTTCTTAGGGAGAAAAACTGCTTCAGGAGGAAAAGGCTCACGGTGGCCACGAGACCATCCCACCGAGGTGGCACTGGCTGAGGGCAGTCTCATTTTCCCTTTCTTCATTTCCTTTTAACATTTTGTTTTTTAGTTGTAGATGGACACAATACCTTTATTTAATTTATTTATTATTTTTTATGTGGTGCTGAGGATCGAACCCCGTGCCTCATATATGCTAGGCGAGCGCTCTACCGCTGAGCCACAACCCCAGCCCCATTTTCTTTTTGATGGCGATTACACAATCACATTTTAGCTTTTAATAGGTTTACTGGATAAGTGTCAGTCTATTACTCTCTTGCCTCTTTGTATACCCCTTCCCTCCACAGTAGCAGACACTGGGAATTCGGTTCTTTGCTGTTCTGTTAAATTTTAAGCCTGTGTACAGGGCGGGGTTCAGCGTGACTCCCTGGCTCATGGCGAGGAAGTGTACCCTGCTTGGGGTCCTCCTTCCACAGCTCTCACCCTGGCCAACCTGCTGAGGCAGAGCCACTCAGCTCATAAGCTGATGAACACAACCCTGGTGACACTGTCTATGAGAAGTGTTCCACACGACCCTACCAAGGCCTCCCCAGACCAATGCTAAACAACAGATTTTGTGTGAGGGATACTGTACAATGAGATGAAGAGTTGGGTCTAAGGACATGTACCTATAGTTCCAGCCAATGGGAGGCTGAAGCCGGAGGATCACTTGGGTTTAGGAATTACAGACCAGCTGGGGCAATATAGTGAGGTCCCCGCTTAAAAAAAAAAAAAAAAATGACATGAATAATCATGTGTGTGTACATATGTGTGGGGGGCTATATGTCATTTACACTGTGTGTCATAGGTGTGTGATTATGTTTATGTCTACACGTAGGTATGCATAATCCCATTGTGTACATTTCCTGAGTCGAGTGTTGTAATGCAGTACACACACATACAGATTGCTGAAGTAAAAGTTCTACAAAACCAATTCAAAGAGCTGGGGATATAGTTCAGTTGGTAGAGTGTTTGCATCCCATGCACAAGGCCCTGGGTTTAATCCCCAGCACCACACACACACACACACACACACACAAATTCAAAATACATTTGACCCACTAAATTGGGTTTACCATGAGCTGATGGGCTCTGGTCCTAGATGTGGACAGTTCTGCCCAAACTGGTGATCCTCACTATCTCCTTGTCTTCTCCCTGTGGCGCTGGGACCCCAGATTTGTGGCACCTGCTGGCATAGTAGAATTCTCGAGTGATACAAGCGGAGGGCAGGATCTCCAGGGCTGGCTGACCCAGGAGTACCTCTCCAGGACCCTCGTGGTCGTTGGCTGTTCACCTGTGACCCTGTGGGAAAGAAGCTTGCTGCTCTCCTGGGTCTGAGAAGCTACCTGCTGAGCACTCCCATCTTTGGAGGGGCAGGTGTTTGGGTGGAGAGAAGGCTCAGGGAGAAGTGAAGCTGCTGTCAGCTCCCCCTGAGAGGAGTTGTAGGAAGAGGGAAGTTGGATGTGCTGGTCAGGAGTTATGGCCTGGTGTGGTGCGGTGCGAGTGGGGGCTCCAGAGAGGCAGACTTGAGCGCCAGATGAGCAATAGGTTAACACTTGTCCTTCCCCAAGTCTCAGGAAAGAATTAGTTTGTCCCTGTCTCTTAAAGTTCTCCAGTTCACATCTGACGGCCCACTCACCACCGAGAGGTGAGTGTTCCCTGCTGTGTGCCGGGGCACGGGCACCAGGTTTCTCAGTGTGGCAGAAGACATGGCGGCTGCCATCCCTGTGGTTCCTCTAGAGCTGGTGGGCAGCTGAGACTGAAGAGTTGTCTTATGCTGGGTCAGGAGTCCACCATTAATTCACACGCTTTTTAAAAATTGACATGAAAGGTTCGACCTGTTTCCGGGTATATAGTATCTTATCGGGCTTGAGCTTTGAAGCTTATCCAAAATTGAGGGCCCTTTTGAGAAAATTTGGTTCCCAAGAGTCAGAGGAGTATTGAGATAGTATTTGTTGGTTTTGTTTCTTTTTAAGGAGAAATTCAGTGCTTTTTTTCAGAAGTTGAGGTCATGGATGGGACTTGCTTCAATAGGGGTCATTACATTTCCAGATTTAGGCAGGCTGAGTTTATCTTGTAAATAACTTTCCTTTATTCTTACTGCTAAACCAATGTCTTTTTTATTATGAGCCTCCACAACTGCTGTTTCTGATAAATTTAGATCGTTCTAAACAACTTCACTTACTGTCAATCTCGAAAATTTAAGCTCCTTTTCACGATCCCCATGGAATCACCTAAGTTTGGGGTGCAGCTCCTGATTTTAGTTTCTTCACGTGTGATGTTATAGGGTCGACTCACAAACTTCGCTCAGCCTATGATGAAGTGGCACCTGGTGTATGGCCACCTCATGGTCGTGTTCTTATTTATATCCCTAGGAAAGCACAGTGACCTGCTGGGCTCTTCAGCACAAGCCCAGCTTGACCCGTGGACTGTCTATAACTCTCTCCGCTCCCTTTTTTTCTCTCAGGAGCCCTGTAGGAGGAGAGAACACTTAATTCTGGTTGAATGTCAGCTTGGATAAACATAGAAACAGACTAGAAAGGACTGATCCTGTTCTCCTAGGTGGGAAAGAGAGGGAGTCCAGTATTGCAGAGGCATGATCGGCATGTACCCAGTGCCGACTCTGAATGCCAGGTGCCCCACCCATTATGGGTAGTGATGATAGTTATAATCAAAGTAGTAACATCAGTTAGGACTAGACCCTAAGCCTGTCTGTCTTTAAACACATAACAGATTTGTTGCATACTGAGATTTTTCTCATGAGTTTCTAGATAAAAATAAGTCATAGCCGACCTGAGTACCCTATCTGAGCTTCAGTTTCCCTGTCTGTAGTAGAGGGGATGGTACCTACGGACCGGCACCATGAGGAGGCTGAAACGGGTGGGGGGGGGGGAAGGTTAGAGTCCCTGGCACACAGCTCAGAACTGTGCGGCTACGAGGCTGTGATACCGTTTGAAGCATTCACATCTCAAAAAGCCAGTCCCTTGACCTTTTATCAAACCCAAGGAATATGAGAGTGAGTGGTTAACTTTGCCAGAATGCCCTTTGTCCTGCCCCTCAGCCCTTCTTCCCTGTCTATATTAGATTTCAAGGTTTCCCTTTTGTGGTCTTGGCCAGACCCTGGAATGTCTATCCCATTTGAATCTGGGTTTTAAAAAAGAGTGGGAGCTGGCAGCCAAGAGTCACATGTGTGGCGCATCCCTAAATATAAGTGTCTCCAGGGTACTGCCTGGCCTGCCCCGCGCTGCTCCGGACCTCCCTGCTTCCATCTGTGACAGTGGCACAGACTCATGGGCTGAGGGGCTTGTGACAACTTGTCAGCAAAAACAGGTTCAGGCTTTTGAGGTTGAGTCTACTGGTGGCTCACAGAGGAGCGCAGGGCGCAGCGTGGAGGTGCTGGCACCTTCTCCTTTACCCATGTTTATGCTTCTGCTCCGGCACCCACAGTTCCCGGGACACAGGAAAAGGCCCAGCTGGGCGTTTGCACCCGAGCCAAGGCGGTGTCTTCATAGACCCTCCTCCTCTTAGCAGCTTCATGCAGAGGGAACGTGGGTGTGCGAATGCTGGCTCGGTGCTGGGAACAGTGGCCCCGTCAGCATGCGGGGGCTGCTCGTGGAGAACGCTGTGGGTCCCAGGGCCTGGTTGGGAAGTACCAGGCTGAGGGAGAGGGCACTTCCTGCAGCAGTACCAGTGGTAACAGCCAGTCACTGGTGGGTTGCTTACATAACCCTGCTCGACCTTCCCTGGGGTGGCCCCCGCCATCCATACATAGGCACCAACGTGAGCAGCCCTTACCACTGGGGCAGCTTTACGATATGCAGAGTAGCTCCTGATGTCCTAGACCTGCTACCAGTTCAAATACGCCAAAATGTATTTTTATGTATTTTGTTTTTCAAATGTCTAGGTCTTGTTCTTGATGCATCAAAAAAAATTTTGGTTTTTTTGCTCCTTTTAGTTTGAGTATGAATTAATGGAAATCCTTGTTTTGCAGGCATCTGTATTTCTTACAACTGAAGATGGATGTTTGTGAAGGAAGGTAACGAGCGTTTTGCATTTTCCTTTTCCTGTCGGACTAGCCAAATTCATGGTTTTAATCTAATGAGTGTGTATTTCTGACAACAATATTAAATCTCGACAGTGACTGGACTTTGAAAACAGCATCCTGTGTGACATCAGGCTCTGGACATCTGTTTTCAACTCAGTCTTGGCTTAGAGAGGCTAAAGATTGATAAGCTTCATTTTATGCTATTTCCGCTTTATTTCAAAGGTGCAGTTATCTTTCTGGTAAAGACCTGAGAAATCTTAATGGGAGGGAGAGACCCAGAATATAAAATGGGCTTCATTCAGGAAGACAGATCAGGCCCAATTTAGGTCCTCTTCCAGCCCCTGGTATCTTGGATGATTCATTTTCTCACTGGGAAGGCTTTTGCTTAAAAGACATGAGCATCTGCCTGTGATTCAGCACTTCTTGTGTATCCAGACCATCTAAGTGACTGGCAGCTCTCCGAGACAAGCCCAGAAAAGGGGGATGGAATTCCAAGCAAGTGGTCCCGGAGCCGCTGCTTCCAATTCCTTAGTATTTTCTTGACTCATAAAAGAAACTGCAGCAGGTAAATTAGTAGAAATACCCCCTCTCTCCACCTGTTAGCTTATTCCTGCAGAGAAGGGTCATCAGAGGCCACCAGCACGCTGTACCATAAGGCAGCTGGCAGTCTGGTTGGGGGAACAAGACAGGAGCCCATGAAGCAATTAGGACCAGCGTTGGCAGTGGAGACCGCAGTTGTCATGGCATTGAGGAGCTCCTTCTACTGGTGCCGGCTGGAAAAGTCTTTGTGGATTGCTGGGGTGAGCCAGAGTTGGGAGAGTAGTGAGGAGTCAGATTTCCCTGGGCAGCAAGAAGCATCACCCCCCCACACACACACACACACTCACACATACACACATAGTCCGAGCTAGAAACCACCCATTAGCAGCATGCAGGAGAACAGAGAGGACTCTTCATGTCAAACATGGGCATGCGTCTCGCATCCACCAGGCAGAGGAGAGCAGTCGAAGGTTTTTAAAAGCAGGAGGAGTGGGGCAAGAACCACACCTACAACCATCATGTCAGTGCACACAAGACAAGACTGGAGGAAGCCAGGGTTCAGTCTAGATGGAGGAGAGTGGACATTCCCGGGGGAAGCATTACAGACCTGCCAGCCAGAGGTCTGGGGGCTGGCAGGGAGATTGGAGGGCCAGGAGGACAGGTAGAAACAAGAGCCTCCTTGGGGAGAGGACAGCCAGACCTGTGGACTGTGTATGGGTCACAGAATGCAGAACCCTGGTGACATGGCCGGTTTGTTCCTCGAGGTAGGAGCACATCCCCTTGCCAGCACAAACTGTGGCCTTGGGGCACCTGCTTGGTCACTCCAGTGGTGGGGATCTCACCCTTCTGAGAGGCAGAACATTTTAAGATAACTCCTCTCCTGGGGCCCAGGCCTCCTCTTCTGCCCTCTCTTCTGCACATTTTGTTTTCCCAGATACTTTGCTGGTACCTGTTAGGAGACAGGTCCTGAACTATGCAGTTAGATAAGGCCAGGGCTGCCTCCTCTGCGGCTGTCACTCACTCACAGGTGCTGGGAAGTGCTTGTCCTCCTCTTGCCTTCTCCCAGCAAAACATCCCTTTGTCTTCCTGGGTGGATCAGTAGGTGTCTGTTGAGGAGCACATCTGGCTTGGATCCCTGGCTTTCCTCACCAGGAGGCCCTCACCCCTCTCCAAGGACAGCTTCTCTGCTGTCACACCTGCTTCTCAGGTGTGAATCAGGCTCTTTGGCCAGGATGTTTGATAGGCTTGGCAGTTGGCATTTCTTGGGACCTCAGATCCCCTGATGGGGTCTGAACTGTGAGCTGGCAGTACTGCAGGCTTCAGCTCCTTCCTGCCTAGAGGGGTGATCAGTCCACGCTCTTCACCCACTCCCCTGGACCTGACAGAAAGAAATATACCTAGGAACAAGCAGAGGCTGAGAGCAGTGCTCTTGGTGTCCTTTAGTGTATGTCTTGGACACCACTTTTTGGAAACGTTTTTCCTTGTGATGTTGTAAAATTGTTGCTTCCACCCAGACTGAATCTCCTTAGCTTCCTCCTCAGGTGTCCCCCAGGTCCCATTCACCTGCTCTTCCTCTAGCGAGGACGCTGGCTGGATGGCAGCGAGGCCCTTCTTGGGAGGAGAGCGAATGGCTGATGCTTGTCACGTACTGCCTGCTCGCCCTCCGCCTTTTGCATCTCCAGGTGACTGACTGGACAGTGAGCATCCCTGGGACGTGCATGTAGACATGGACTTGGAGAGACGCTCACAAGTGCCAGCAGGAAGCCAGAGTTACTTGAGGGGAGGTAGAGGCCTCTCTGCTAGGGAATGCTGCCTTTGTCCGCAGCCTTGGGATCAGCACACGGTGCAGTGGATGGAAGGGGGACCCCTGGAGGGCCCAGCAGATCAGTCAGAGGGCGGGATGTTTCACATCTTGGGAACTTAATAAGCTGCCATGGAAACTGCATGTTTTCTCCACTTCCCACTGCGTTGCTGGGAAGATGCTTTTAAAATCTCAGTGCCTCTCGGTGTTGCTGTTGGGGATGCCTCCCTTTATCAGATCCCTTCCACCTCGCACTTCCCCAGCCCATGCTCCCATCCAGCTGTGCTCCCATCCAGCTGTGCTCCCATCCAGCTGTGCCCCACGTCTGCTGGCAGAGCTCCCAGGGAGGCAGATCATGGAGCCAAAGGTGAATGGAGGAAAGGAGCAGTCAGGACTCCAAATGTGACTGACGGGTGGAGTCACTGGTGAAAGTAGGGCATTTGGGAGGACAAGTGAGTTCTGAAGAAAATGAGAACAAGTCCAGCCCAAGTCTGGATTTCTAGCAGATGGTAGAAGACAGGCAGACGAATCGTGGAACCTTATAGATCTTCAGGAGGGCAAATATATACAGGAACCTTAAGTCATTACAGCCAATTAATTAATTAGGGAATTGCAAGTGTTAAAATGCAAAATGCTTTTTCACTTTTCCCTTCTAAGAGGATGTGAGAAAGGGGATACTCAAGAATCATAGTCTCTAGGACCCAAGAATCCAGTCGGAGAGCCCTACCAAAAGTGTCTCATCTTTACTAGAAAGATTTGAAGGTTGCCCACTGATGTAAGAGTTTACGTTCCTCACCGTTCCTCTCAGACGTGAATCTGACCAGCCAACCTGCTGGCCAGTGTCAGAACTCTGTCTAGCTTCCTGGTATCTGTAGTATTTTGTTATTTTAAACACAAAAAGTTCTTTTTATTTAAAAAAAAAAAAAACCTAAAATCCTTAGTGTGTTACAGTCAATCTCAAAGAGTGATTAAATGTATCATAAAGTTGTCTCTGTTATGAGTCATGCTGTCCTCTGTGGTTAATACAAGAAAAGAAAGACCCATGAGCGTTTTGGGCCCCGCCCCGGACCATGTGATCTTGCTAAGACGTTTTTCTTCTGACAGGTTGACCTGCCCTCTGAACTCCGCTGTGGTTCTTGCATCCTATGCAGTACAATGTAAGTCACCAAGGGACTGTGGCATGGAGGGACAGATTGCTCTGAGCAGTATGTGGAGAAAGCCACCAGCTCCTCCTCTGTGACCAAGTCCCTCTTCCCCAGGGACAGTATAGCTCTGGCTGTCCAGATAGTCCCACTCCAACCCTGACTTTGATGCTCCCCCAGCTTGGGGATGTTGGATGAAGGGAAGTGGCACCAGGGGAGGACGTGGATGAGCTCTGGCATGGTGTCTTCTCCAAAGGGAGCCATAAAGCAGCAGGCAGCTACCACACATGGCATTTTCCAGAGGCTTTGCCCAGGTATTTGGATTTGATATCCATACAAACCCCAGTGGAGCAATATTTATACCCGTCATCTCTTATAAACATGGAAACTGAGACCCAGCTAGGTCAAGGAATTTGCTGGAAGTCACTCCTGCAGCATGCTTGGTGCCTGTCTGAAACACTGCTGAGAGCTTATGAATTTATTTTTAGAGTTTCATTATAACTAATGAAATAGGTTCGTAACTAATAGGTTAAGAACTGGTCCATAGAAGTGCTGTCCATTAGAAATACAATTTAAAAGCCATACATGTAGTTCTGAGTTTTCCAGTAAAATGAAACAGGACAGATTACTTTTTAATGTTTTAAATTAACCCAGCATATTCAAGCTATTATTTTAATATGTAATCAAAATAAAAATTATTAATGAGATATTTTACATTTTTTTTCCTACTGTCTTTGAAAACCAGTCTGGAACTTATGCTTTCATCTCCGATTGGACTATCCACACGTGGCTAGTGGCTGCCATATTGGATAGAAAGTCCAAATGGAATTGTCTATCAGGGTTGGTTTAAGCTGGAGTGGAAACCCACTTGTTCAATTAGCACAACTTTATTGAGCAGGTACTCCATGTCAGGTCCTGTGATAGAGGCTGGGTTTGCACAGTGAAAAAGAGTACATAGTCAGATGGATGACAAAATACCACTTTATAGTTAGCTATGTGATTCCAGTACAGTCCACAAGCATGTTGCTGTGTAGAGTTGTAGGGTAGATAGCTCAAGACATAAGAAATCTCCTCTACCTTTGCCATAAGTCCCAGACCATCTTGGCCTCTTACCCTCTCAATTGACTGCGTGTTGGGCAATTAAGGGAGCAAGATGGTCAGGTCTCAAGAGTAAGCACTGGCCAAATTATTCACTCTATAGGCTCAGAAGAAGCAAAATAGCAAAAGAAGGTTACCAGGAGCTGTTGAGGTAGCCCCAGTTCTGCCTCCTCCCCTAGCAGCAAAGTACTGAAATAAGAGAGGTGAAGGTGAAGAGCAAGGTACCTGGGCCTGCAGCTCACCTGCCCACATACATGGAACCAGGAAGTGGGGGAACACGACATCAGGGGCAACTTCATGCCTTTAAGCAACCAGCAAGCCTACTTGCTAGTAAGACAAGACCCAGCACTGGTCTCCATCTCACCGTGTCTCCTCCTGCCTAAGTGGGACTCTCAGAGCTTGCCCAGGGAGTCCTGGGTGGATTTGAAAGTTTCCCTCTCCCTGCAGTATAACTGGAACAGACCTGGAGTGTGGTAGCCATATAGCAGGTGGCGCAGCCATCAGTCAACGTGCACTCCTGTGGGTCTCTAGGTTTTGCAGACCCACCTCTGCTGGGTGGATCAGCTGAGGAAACCAACCTTGTCCACATCAGAGTGAGTTGGGTGTTCATAGCTGGAGCTCCAGGCTTGAGAGATGGGGATATTAGAAAGAAGACAGTCACCCCACTTAAATCCTGCATGCTCCATTTGCTACTTACATGATATTACCTCTCTGAACCTTGGGTCTCTCGCCCGTTAAATGGAGGTGACAGTAATTTGCAGTATGGCTGCAATATTATTTGGTTCAAATTTAGTAACACATGCAAAGGTGGTCTAGCTAAACATTCTTTATGGTTAGATCATCACTGACTGAGTCAGAACATGGACTGAAGCCAGATTACCTGTGTCTTGGCTCTTCCACTTACCCTGTGTGACCTTGAGATTACCAGGCCACAGCTTCTTCACCTGTCAAATGGGGACATGGGAACATCTACTTCACAGGGCATGAAGATAAAATGAATGAGCACGTATGTACGTAAAGCTCTTGGATCAGTGCCCACAATCTGGCTGAGTGTCAGCTCTTACTATATTTTCCTGTCTGCCCAGAAGAAAGCTATTCTGAAAAATTGCCTATTACAAGCTTTAAATGTAGAGTAAAATTTAAGAACTACATTTAAAACATCCTGTTCCAACCTTCCATAGTCAGTGCCCCTCACTCCCCACAAAATATTGATAAAATGAGGGCTAAAGAAAATGATTAGACCTAAAAAAAAAATGCATATAGGTTTCAGTGGAAATATTAATACTGCCATGCTAATAAAATCATGAGTTGTCAGGCAAGCAGTTTTAAGTATATGCTCTTTATATTCCTCTACCTTCAGTAAATAAATACATATATTTGCATACTTCTGTGCATACCTGTCTAGAAGATTAATTCTTAGATATGAAGTTACCAGATCAAAAAGTTATGTCTTCATTTTATCCGATAGGTTTTGCTGACTTATCCCAAAATGGATAACTTATAAGTCCTACCAGTGATTAGATAACCAAAAGCACTTTTTTTTTTTTAAGTAAAATGATCTGTAGGTTAAGTACCCTAAACGACATAATGATAGAAAATAGCTAGTAACCTGTCAAGGGTTTATGAGGCACAAAGAATGAAGCTTTTAGAAATTCTTATTTATTCCATAATATTCTCAGACCTCCTGCCACATGCAAACTCTGTGCCAGCCTCAGGAAGGAGAAAGCTCGCTGCTTTCCCCGAGGACTTTCTACCCGGTTAGTGAGGCAGGTGAGGACCTGGTGATGTTTGCTGTAGAATGAGCTCAGGTGATACTCCCCGTCCTGCTTGGGAGAGAGGGAGGGAGTCCAGAAAAGCATCCCAGGAATGAGCCCATAAAGAGCCTCTGGGAGCAAGTGGGAGTTGAAATAATAGCAGGTAAAGGACTTGCCCAGCATAACCGCTTGATAGCTGGAAACACGGCACCTTTGGAACCTGGGCTGGACCCTGTCTTTGCTACATATAGTATGCCTGCATATTTTTGGTCAGCCAAAACAAAAAACATGAAACTAGAAAGTCAAGGTATTTTGCACAGAAGCATTTATTTCCTTTTTGATCTGCTACAATTAACTTTTGCATGTGTTGCTTTCCTTACAAATAGGAAAACTTTACTCAGGAGTTTGGGGCAGGTAGTGGAAGTAGGCAGATAAGAGGAGGAACTCTGGTCAGGTCTAGGCTCCCAATTAATAATGGTCAAGGAGTAGTGGCAGTAGCAGGTCCCTTTTTTCAGTCTCAGTTTCTTTACCTGTTTAATGGGGATAAAAGCATTGCCCAGTTGTGGGTTCTCAGGAATCAAGTGGGATGACGTCATTGAAGTCGGGTGGAAATCACCCAGTGTTCTCAAATGTTTATGTGGCTGTTTAACTTTGTCTCCCCCTAGTGGTTAACACAGAGCTTTGTACAAAGTAGCTGCTTAAGAGTTGAAGGGAAGACAGGGAGGTTCTGGTTGGTCACGTTTAAGTTCAGAAGGTCTTTCAGTGACTTGACCCAGGAGAGAACCTTGCAATTCATGTTTGCACGGCGGCACTGGGATTGGTGGGGACTGTTAGCTAATGTGATGGATAACCAAGTCATTCAGGAGGATCTCCATGAACTCATGAAACCAACAGAGGAAAACTAAATAGGATTCTGCTTTCAAGCCCAGGAAAGACATTTGTAGCATTTAGTTGGTCTTTGGGGGATATCATCACATGGCCAGCAGCAGCCTGCTGACCTGACAGGAAGGCAGGTAAAGTGTTAGGGCACTAACAGAGGGCCTCCAGTCCCCAGTTCTGGCCTTGACCCTGTGGACAAGTGGCCCTATGATAGGAGTAGATCCATTCTCCTCTCTGAACTTCAGTTTCTTCCCCTTACCATGAAGGGTTTGGATGAGGAGAAGCTAATGCTTTTCTCCCTGGTACTCTGTGTCCCGGCATCTCAGTGGTTCCTGTAAACATACTAGTCACACTCGAGAAAATAAAGCATGAGGTCAGTTATTCTTCAGAGCTCGAGGCTGGCTTCTGTTTTTTTTTTTGTTGTTGTTGTTGTTGGTGGTGGTGGTGGTGGTGTTCTTGCGGTGCTGGGCCTCCCCATGTGCTAGGCTAGTGCCCTACCATTCTCCTGCTTTTATGGAAATAGAAAACTGTCTTGGAGAAGGGAACTGGATGTCCTCAGGTCCTGCCCCTGGTCCTTTTCCCTGATCTCTTTAGCAGGAGGCCACATAGTGGACCCTGGGCCCAGAACAACCCTCAAGAGTACCTTGCCTTATAGACAGCACTTCATGTCTGCAGACAGTAGGACAGGGCTTCAGGGAGAAAGCGTCATCTGGGACAGGGGTTAGTCTGGAAATCCTTCCATAAAGCCCCTCTTCCTCTTCCCTGTGTATCCCCCACCTCCACTCTTAGGATGTGTCCTCCTCCCCTGGAATCCTGCCACCAGCCTTGCCTGGGCCCTGACTTTTAACCGCACCTGTACCTAGCCCTTACCCCCATGGCCTCTGAGCATATCCCGGGGGTTTACACAGGTCACAGGGGGTGAGTCATGACCTCTCTTCTGCTCAAACCCATTTCTTAGAGCCAGCTGATCCAACCTTGCAATAGCCTTGGGCTGCGACGGTGCCCAGAGGCTGACGTGAGGACGGCATCCTCCCTGGTGGCATCCCTTCTCTTTCCTTCCTCAGGGGTGTGAGGCAACCTTAGTGCTGAAACAGGGTGCAGGAGGCGCGGGGTCAGGATAGGATCTAGATTCCAGCACCTTCTTCTAGCTTTCTCTGTGTGTCCTCAGGGGGAATGAGAATTGGGTCGGTCTTGTGTGACGGTTTTGGCCCCCAGCAAGGGTTCAGATAAGCAGCGTGGAGTCTGGAGGCTGCAGGTGGTGGGGGAACTCATCAGAAGATGTTTCCAATTAATGTTTTCTCACGACTCTGTAGCTGCTCATAAATGCAGACCGTATTGAAAAGGCAAAACTAATTCCAGTTTCCCCCTCATTCTGTCTTTTAATAGCTCATTTCGGAGACTTTGATTCTTCCGTACATCATCCAGGCTACCTTGCTGACAGCCAGTTTATTCCAGATCAAAACGATGACTTTTTAACCAAGGTGGAGTCTCTGCACGAGCAGCACAGGTGAGGGGCTCCGTGGCCTACTTTGGGAGCTCGGGTCGGGTATTTTCAGACATCGCATCACCTTCTGGTTAATGCAAACTCTCCTTCCTTTTGCTCATGATTCTCTTTGAAGTTGTCAGGGGTTTTTGAACCTCTGTGCTGTGATGGTAGCAGATACAGTGAGCATGACCAGCATTTCTTTGCAGTATAAAATCCAGCCGGCAGAGTGGGACACGGCTGCTGTGTTCCTCTTCAGGATGTCGTTGAAATTGACTTAATTCCTAAAGGAAACACCTGTTTTGAAATCTGAACGCCCCACAGATTGCCCCCACCAGGCAATCCTTTCGGCTGTACCATGTTGAATAAATCAGGCCTTTCCTTCAGGGATCGTTGAGTAGACAGACAGGTGGCCAGAAGGGGCCGTCAGGCTGGACATTCATGGGTTCAGCTCGTGAAAACTGCTTCCAGTCTCCTGTGACTGCCTAGGGCCAGCCTCCCCCAGAAGACATGCCCAGCTCCAGCCTCCTCCTCCCTTTCCCCACTGGGCTCAGAGCTACGTGGCAGCAGTACAGTTCCTGTCAGGCAAGAGCCATGCTGGCCCAGGAGGCTAGCTCTCAGGGGACCGCCCGCTCACTTCTTAGGAAGGCCATAAAAACAAAGGGCAAGCAACCAGTGTCCCTTCTAAGAAGGCGCTGCCAGTCGCTCTCCCAAAATTGCTCCCCTGGCAGAAGTCAGCATCCGAAAATAGCACAGGGCCAGCGTCATTTGAAGTTTGAGGCCACTGCTGAAAGAATAGACAAAGGCAGAAAGATGTTAAGATTACCTGGGAATTGAGTAACCCAGGAAGATCAGGGCAGGAACCATGAGAGCGGAGACCTGGAGCCTGTGGCTGGAGACCCAGAGCCCCCTGCGTGGGGCACCGCCACTGCGTCAACAACGTCTAGATGAAGTCAGACTCAACCGACCGAAGGAAACCTGGTTCCTTAGAATTTAGGGTGAGGTGGTCTGAGAGTGGCCATGTAAGGCGTTTCCCAACCTCAGAGCAATGTTACCAAATCCTCTAGATTTTCCGAACCTTTAAAAGTTGGAGTTGACGTTCCCTGTTTGTCTGGTGAACCTGCACCTTTCTTCCGCAGTGGGCTGAAGCAGTCGGAAGCCGAGTCCTGCTACATCAACATAGCCCGGACCCTCGACTTCTACGGGGTGGAGCTGCACGGCGGCAGAGTACGTAGCCTCGGCGTGTTTTGGTTTAATTTTTAAATTGTAAAAGTTTGGAAAATTCCTTGATGAAGCTGTTCCTTTCCCATTAAAACAGAAGTCCTTTTTAAAGATACTCAGAGGGCTATTAAGTCGTGCCAAGCTTTACTGGTCATTTATCTTGCTTTGTTCCTGGTTGCCATTATACATGAAGACTTTTCCCTTTGGAGAGAGGTCAGGGGATAGAAACTTATAATTTTCTAAGACTGTATTATGGTTAAACAGGCAAAAAAAAAGTGTATAAATCCATTTTTCAAGGTTTAATGAGTCAAGGTTTCTGCCACTTCACTCAGCCACTGCTCAAATTAGAGCTAGTTACAAACAGTTTTTTAAAAAAAATTGTGGAGGAGCCGGGCATGGTGGTGCAAACCTGTAATCCCAGCCACTCGGGGGGCTGAGGCAGGGAGATCTCAATTTCAAGGCCAGCCTCAGAAACTTGATGAGACCTTCTCTCACAATAAAAAGAGTTGGGGATGTAGCATGAGATCCTGGGTTTGATCAGTAAACCCCACCCCACCCCATCCCCCCGCCAAAAAAAAGTTATGGTGGTATGATTGTGAAGATCAGTAAATATTTAAGATTATTGTGATTTGTGAGACAATGCCTGTGGTGCCAGTGGATTATTTAATTTTTTCTCCTAATAATGCCACAAGCTAGGTATTACTGTCCCCGTTTTACAGATGGAGAAACTGCTACTTGGGGACTACACAGAGGATATAAAAAGTAGCTCAGTACATGGCCCCAGCACTATCTAATTCCCTCCCACCTTCACAGTGACATACTAGTGTTTTCTACCTGTCACCGGCCCATATCACACCCACAAGGAGTAAATGTTAGTTGAACTCCAACTATGTGCCAGTCTTTGTTCCATCCGGTCTCATTTTAAGAATTGTAGTAACCTTGTCAAATTGGCATTCTAATCTTGCCCATTTTACAGATGGGAAAACAGGTTCATGGATGTTGAGTAACTATGTAATGCGTCTGCAGTTTATAGAAACACTTCCATTTCTGTGTTTCCCTTGGGTCCTGTGGAAGCCTGTGACGTAGAAAAGGCATAACTTTGCCAACAAAGCAGGAAAAAGATATCAGATCTTACAAAATACCAACTCTGGGATTTAAACCTTAATGATTACTCTTATTTGCAGATAGTTCATCCTTGACAGAATGTTTTGGAGACATTTATTCGGTAGCGAGACAGGATCTTGTGTCTGTCTGAGTTGATCTGTGTCTTCCCCACCTCCAAGCTGTCAGTGCAGTGACCCTCAAGGTTTCTGAGGCAGAGGCTTAGCTGCCCAGCCAAGGCCCACAAGGTATTAGAGGGGGTTGTGTCCCACCAGGCTGTGCTGGGTGAACTAAACCCCCCAGATGTCAGTAGCTTGAGACCACAGAGTTGGCTTTTCAGGAGGAAGTCAGTACTGCGTGGGGTCCAGCCACCTCTCCAGGGCAGGCTAGGCTGCTCGGGGCTCTGCCTTCCTCCCATGTGGCTTCCTCGTCATCATAAGCCTGAGGGTCCCACAGCAGCTCTTCAGGGCTGCAGCAGAGGCACAGGGCATGTCTGCTCAGAGCACATTGCCAGCACTGGTCCCGTGGCCCTGCCTTCTGCCAGGGGAGCTGGGGAATGTGGTGTTGGCCGCGGGAACCTAATGGACAGCAGCCATCCATGATGCCGGGGTGAGGGACACACGGAGAGGCTATAAAACTGGGAGATTTGAGACCAGTCCTTGGCCTACTCAAACCATTCATCTCCTTATTCACTCAATTTTTATTTCATTTGCTAATTTGTTGTTTTCTCCAAATGGCAATCACAGCTGTCCTGTTTAAATGCGGCCCTGTTCTTCATCATGCCAATCTGGCTCGCTCTAAGCACATGATTTCAGTCGGGCTGCTATCAGGAGGAATACTCTCTGGCCTTTCCGCCACGGTAGAACCCTTCTCCCTGTCCAGTTTCTCTAACTTCCTTTGTTCATATTGCTGCTCATAGACGATATGTCCCTCAACCAAAGGGGATCAGCATTTATCATGCCAACTATATGCCAAACCCCATTCTAGACGCCACACACCGAGCCCTGTTCTACATTCCTTCTCATATTCTCTGGTTTTAGCCTATCAAAATCCTTTGGGGTGGGTTCAGTAATCTAGTGTTCAAAAAGAAAAAAACAATCAAAGCTCTTCTGAGTCCCAAACAACATGTCTGGCAAGTGGCAGACCAAAGTGGCAGACCAAAGGTACATGCCCAGCTGAAACCGACTCAAACTCCTTCTTTACAGCCTCAGGTATCTGATGGGGAACAGGAAGTACATGACCCAAGGGAAGGGGCCATCTGTATTTTTTTGGTTTTATTTGCTTATATTCAGATGGATTTAAAACAGCTTGGAGTGTTTGTGCTTCCCTTCTCCAGGGTCTCCAAGGACTGCAGCGTGACTGGCGCTCTGTAAATGTTCTTAGTAAATGTCAGTTGTATTGGACTCGTAAGCAACAGTTATTTCTTAATTGGATTTAGAATCAGTTTTACACTTGTAATTTTCCCTCATCACATCAGAACAGCGAAAGCCTTTTTCCTAATGGGAGCTGAGATTGTACAAACCATGCAGAGAGAGGCCTCTCGGATTTTAATGTGGCTGTCAAATGCTGATTTGAAAATTTAGAACTGAATGTCTATTTAAGTGATTCTGGTGACTTTCTAAACTAGGTGACCAAGAGCTCTGTGTGTGTGTGTGTGTGTGTGTGTGCGCGCGCGCGTGCACACTTTGGAAGAATTTGGTGCCAAGTACTTGGATCTCAAGTAGCTATTAAGTGGGGATTTTTGCCTGTTTTCAGTAGCATTTTCCCCTTTGGAGCTTATACATATTGCTATTTATAAAACTCTGGATGCTTTCAAGTTACTGGTGGGCATTAAGCAAGACTGTAACACTGCAAATCTAAGATCTTCCTTTTTCACAGGATCTGCATAATTTAGATCTAATGATTGGAATTGCTTCAGCGGGCATTGCTGTGTACCGAAAATACATTTGCACAAGTTTCTATCCTTGGTAAGTGAAAACAGTTCTAATTATTGTCTGAATCACGCTTTAAAAATACGCTGAACAAAAGTAATTTTACACTTTTTTTTCCCTAAAAGAGGAGTAGAGATTTTTCTCCCAAACTTTAACCTCAGACCTCAGAATTTGATCCAAATTTAGTAAACCTGGGAAATGTAGAGTTTGGTTTTCATTAGCATCCTCTCCCCCAGTCATTCTGTAGTTTGGGGGTACTCTGCAGAAACATGGTGGATAAATGGTATGAAGTGGGTCTGAGTTAAGAAAGCCTTCCCATCCCCCTGCATCTGCAGTACAATCCAAGACTCCCAGGGTTGCCTGGAATTGCAGATAGTGCCGAACCCTGTATACACTATGAGTTTTTCCTTGTGCATACATATGTGTAAGTCAGGCACAATAAGAGATTAACAGCAATTAATAGTAATAACATAGAACAATTACGTTAATATGCCGTAGAAGCCAGGTGTGGTGGTGCACTCCCAGGTTAACTCCAGCTTCTCGGGAGGTTGAGGTAGGAGGATCAAGACTTCAAGGACAGCCTGGGCAACTCAGCAAGATCCTGTCTCAAAAATAAAAAGAGCTGGAGATACAGATCAGAGGTTCAGTCCTTAGTACTGTAAAGTAAACAAAGATCCAAAATACTGTAATAAAACTTGCGTGAAATGTGGTCTTTTTCTTTAAAAAGTCAACACAAATGTTGGTATTTTCAGACCCCAGTGGTCCGTGGGTCACTGAAATCATGGGAAGCAACAGCACAGAGAGGAGGGGCTGCATCAGGGTCGAACTGAATTTTGGAGAGAAGCTGGAGCCTGAGGTACCAGGTGACAGGATGCTCAGGGAAACACAGCAAAATAATATCATCTTTATAGATGACAGTGCAGTGGTGGTGTGCAGTGAGGGGGGCAGGTTTGCCAGGGGGGTTGAGGGAGTGAGGTCTGCAGTCCGCAGGAGGCACAGAAGCAGAAGTACAAGCAGGTAAAGAAGAGGGGCTGTGAGGAAGGAAATCAGGGATAAGATTGAGTGCCAGGTCTGTACCATGCTGAACTTGACCCTGGGGTCTAAATCTGCCTCTCTCCCCACAGCAGAGCCTCACTAATTGGGACCTAAAGATGTTCATCGTAGCATTATCTACAACAGAAAAGAGCTATCCTATAAGTTTGTAAAATTAGAGGGATAATAATAATGACAGTCATCATTATTGGTATCAGCTGTGTTCAAGTCGTGCTGCTATGTACTTTATCTGTTTATCTCTTTTAAACCCGGAGTAAGCGCTGTTGTTATCCCCAGTTTCACAGAAGAGGAAACTGAGGCACAAAGAAGGGAGAACTTGTTTGGGATCAACTGCTGATGCCTGGTACAGTTGAAATTTATACCCAGATCACACTCCATGCCTGTCTGCTTGTGCCACCCCTAAAAATTGCATTTGTGGGAAAGTGCTTCAGTAGGATATGTGTTTACAGACACCGGCTTCCAGTGTTACGGGGTATCTGTTTTTCAAAAAGGAAAACATGTCAGTCCTATCCAATTTTCACAACAAAATCAGTAAAACAGATAACAAGATCTTCTCCCCGTCTTCCTTTCCCCTTGCCTTGTTACAAACTCCCCTTGGGAAGCAGGAGACTGAGTCTGGGCTTCCTAGCTGGGACGTGGCCTGGGCAGCTCTCCAGCCTTCCCAGGACCAGGACCGTGTGTGGTAGGCACAGGGCTCACGATCCCTCCAGATGCTGGAGGCTTCCCCAAAAGCCACAGGGCAGAAGCCACTGGGTCCAGCTCTTCTGCAGCTGAACCTCTTAAAGCCCTACAGGCAGGGGCTTCATGGGATATAGGCCTTGACACCCCGCCCGCTCCTGGGCTCACCTGCAGACCTGCCTGTGACTGCCCAACCTCTCAACCTTCAGATGGGTCATGCTGAGGTCTGTCCCTGCCCGTGATGCAAACCTCAAAGACTCGAGGCTAACCCCAAATGGTGGCCCCTGTAGGGCAGTAAATAAGTACTGCGGGCAGACTTCACGAATCTCCCTGAGCCCACATAGGTAAACACTAAACCGAATGGGCTTTGGCCTGGTGGAATAAATTTCCCAGGAAAGGTACAGTATGCATTTGGGTTCAGAAATGTAAGAACATGCAGTAAGTCAAGGGGAGGTGGGTGGTCCAGTCTGGAGCACAGTGTGGATGGGGGGAGTGGTGGGAGAGAGGCCTGGAGGTGGGGGGAGGGGCTCTGGCCACAGGAGTGTATACTCCATTCTTGGTGATGAGGTGCTGGACTTTCTCAGTCGTAGTGTTGCCCTGACCATGACTGATAGTACACATTTGCAGTTCACACTTAGAGTGCACATAGAGTTAGTTATCTGCCTCAGTGTTTGATTTGTTACTGGTCGCCTTCAGAAGACGACTCTGCGTCTCCAGATGCCGCTGCCCACAGTCATGTTCCTTGTGTGCCCAGGGCTTGGCATAGGACTTCAGACATCTAGACCCTTTGTACATTTTTTTTTTCTTCCCTTATGAATGAATGGAGGACAGTAAGAAACCACTGTAGGGCCTTCATCCTGGAATGATATGGATTGTGTCTGCACTTCATCAGATTTGCTCTGGCAGAGGATGCTGTCAAGTACAGAAATTGGGGTGAGCAGGGGTCCCTGTATGTGAAGACAGAGGGGGAGCTAGAGGCCCACAGATTCCCATGGGCAAAGCAAGGTAAGAACTCAGAGGCTCACAAGTTGGGTATCCTGACTCCTTTAAAACAGGAGTGCCTGCGCCTGCCCTTTAGCACAGGAGAGCAGCAAGGAGACCAGGGAGACGGCAGGCAGGGTATTCTCATGCGAGGACGAGTACCTCAAAAGTGTGGAACCTAACACCTCTGGTCCTTGCTAGTTAGCCTGCAAGCACCCCAGAAATTCACTTGTCAAACAAGTTCATCTGCACCACAGATCATGCATTATTTAATACTTAATATGTACTGTAGGTAGACCACATACTGCTGATGCAACTGGATAAATGTCACATGTATAGACTTTCTGTTTACCCACCCAGTCTCTCTGTTCTAGAATGCTCTACCTAGGTCTCATATGATCCTAGAGATTGATAGAATCTCTATTCCCTGAAGTATTACCAAAGTAGTCTTCAGTGGGGAAATGGGCGTTCCTTGTGTGGATTACAGTAGTGTGAATGAAATTGATTTTAAAAATGAATTCTTTAACCAGTTTTAATGAAAGGAACAAGCACTGAAGGCCTACTATATGTCAAGCATCATACTCGGGACTTGACATGCCTAATCACCTGAACCCTTACAAGACCACTTTGGGAGACAGTGTTACTGCTACCGTGCAGGAGCCTTCACATGGTAGGGCCCAAGAGCACGGGCTTTGGATCCAGGAAGGTCCTAGGTACAGATCCTGGCTCCCTAGAACTTCAGACATCTAGACCCTTTGTACATTTTTTTTCTTCCCTTATGAATGGGAAGAATTCCTGACCAAGTGATCTTGAGCACCTCTGCAGTGTCTCCAAGCCTCCGTTTCCTCATCTGAAAACTGGGTATAGTATAACAGTATGCACTTTTCCGGTTTGTTGCAAGACTAAATGGAGGGGATATTTGTAAAGTTCTTCACACTGGCCTAGTATATAAAAATATATTCTGCTAATGACATCTTTAATTCTGTATGTGCATGCGATAGAGAGGCTGCTTGACACGTGGCCGTTAAGTAATGGAGCTGGGATGCTGACCCAGGCCTGTCTGCTGCTGCTCTGCACTGCCCTCAGCTGTCTTCCCCACGTGTCCACCAGCTCTGCAGGGCTGTAGTGTCACAAAAGAAGCTCACAGCAGTGAGAGCGCATGGCCCATCCGTGCTTGTTACTTGAAAGCTACATCACAGTCCAGCGGCTCCGTGCGAGACCCAGCTCAGTCGGCTCCTTGGTGTCTGGCGGAAGTGATGGACGGCCGCTGCTCATGGTGAAGTGCTCTCCAGGGAGCCGGGAGCCCCCCGCGTCAGGACCGTGGACTAAAGGACACATACTGAAGGGGGTCGGCTACCACTGGCTGATCCCCGGTGTGTGTGTGATTTTGCATTTTGTTTAGTTTTTTGTGTTCTGTCTGACTTTCTGCAGGGTGAACATTCTCAAAATTTCTTTCAAAAGGAAAAAGTTCTTCATACATCAGCGACAAAAACAGGTGAGTTGTGTCTGCACTGCTTTGTTTTCCTGTGTTTTGAAGTGACCTCAGCCCTTAGTTCTTCAGGGGTCGGGGGCTGATGGCCACCTATGTAACAGGGACAAAAGAGCACCGTGGCTCTGGGTCCGGAGGGTCCAGCAGTGCTCTCCCTAGGCGTCTGCTTCTCTGGTTAGAGAATGTACTTGCTCTGAAGTCAGAGGTGGTGGGTTCAGGTTGCACCTCTTTCCCTCTCCAGCTGGGCAGGCCTGTAACCTCCCCAGCCTGAAATAAATAAATAAAGCCCTCTTCTCGGGGACGGGGAGGATGAAATGAAAGGGCATGGTCAGCGCAGCCTCCAGGGCCCACGCAGAGTTGCAGGAAACATCTGCAGGGCCACTTCCTTCCCTTGGTGTGTTGAGAGCTTGGTGGCTTGTGTCCATGTCTTCCGGGAGGAGGCTGATAAAACCCTAGATAACTGTTTGCTTTGCCACAGGGAGAAGCAGGTTTAGAGGTGAGGAAGCTGGGGCTCCCACTGCCGGGGTTGGGGGTGCTGGAATTGGAACAGATCGTTAGGAGTCTGGGATGCCTGCACTTTCCACACCACACAGTCTTGTTGTGACTCATACATGCCATCTGCTGTCATCATACCCATTTCCCAATTTTTTCAAAGATAATATGTCCTTAAAATGGCCCCACCTAGCAGAGAACCCTTAGAAAGGGAGCACTGGGGCTCAGAGCAAATGAGGGCAAGAATCTGGGCCAGCTGACCCCCCAGCACGACTCCAAAATGCACCGAGAAACCAGAAAACCTGGACCCAGGCAGAATGAAGGCAGAGCCGGGCATGAAAATGCTCATCGTGTCGCCGTACTAGGCTTCTCTCTGTGCCCTGTGGGAAGCGGTGGAGAAACCGTCAGGTTGTGAAGCTGCTGCTGTCTGGTAGGGCAGAGGGTGTTTCTTCAGAACAGAGATGTTCACAGAGCTGAATTTTCAAAGGAGCATGTTGGACGGTGGCCCCAAATAGATCCAACCTCGAAATGTAAGCAGGCTTGAAACAAAGTGTTGCTGAGGGCCTGCCCATGAGGAGTGGGTTGTGGCCTTTACCACTGATGCACAACGAGGGTGAACAGTCCTGCTCTGGAACGTTCCGTGACACTGTCCCTTGCATCTTTCCCGGTTGCCCCCAGAGTGGCTAAAGCACTCCCAAGGCCTTCATCGATGCAGATGAAATCTCTTGTTCTTCCTCCCAGACGGAATCCAGGGAACATATCGTGGCCTTCAACATGCTAAATTACCGGTCTTGCAAAAACTTGTGGAAATCCTGTGTCGAGCACCATACGTTCTTTCAGGCAAAGAAGTTACTACCTCAGGAAAAGAATGTTCTGCCTCAGTACTGGACTCTGGGCTCCAGGAACCCCAAAAAGTGAGTATGTTTTTATTTTAGGGGCAGCGTCCACACTAGAAGGCTAGTCACCACTGGGTAGTCGATGTCCTTGGGCCGAGGAGGGAATGTTGTGACCTTGAGCCGAGGCACTGATCCTGAACCCTGGCTGAAGAGTTCCTGGGGGTGGCAGTGTCCCTGCACACGCCCAGGTGTGGCATATTCTCAGCGTTTGTTTCTGGTCCCTCAGCTCTGCTGTCCTCAGAGCTCCCAAGCAACCAGGGGTGCAGCTGCCCCTGCACCCTGTCTCGTAAAATAGCTCCGAGGGTCATCCTGGTGCAGCATGTTGGACATTCCCACTGAGGCCACTTAGCAGCCTCTCCACAGAACATTAGTCCCTTCAGGTGCTTCATGAAGATGAGTGAACAGAAGAAAAGGTTTCCAGAGTCAGGTGACCTTGGAATATATTTTATAATGATTACAAAATATTAGTAATTACAGTTGACAGTTACCTAGCGTTGACTTTGTGCCAGGCACACATTTAATTATATTTTATTCTGACAGCTGTCCTATGAGAGAGGTATTATCATCCATGGGAATCGTATTCATAACATTTAATGAGTAGTAAAGTAAGGGAGATTTACGTGTGATTCATATGTATATTTAAAATTTTAAATTTAGATTAAAACGTATTTAGTCTCTAAAAATAACCATGCAGTTTTGTGTTTTATTTCTTTGTTCTAAGTATTAAGAGGCAGCAGAAATTGTTTACCAAGTTATTCTTAGAATTTCTAAATCATTCTTTGGTTCTCTGAGTTTCTGTGATTTGTTATGTGGCTGTTTCTAAATGAGGCTCACGTCGGATTCGTTACGTGGCGTGGAACTGCATCGGGTGTTTTAGGATTTTCCCCTTGTCTGAAGTCATTGGGAACAGATTCAGTAAGTGGCAGATTTAGTATCAGGGATGCCACTCATTACCAAATGCGCTCTCTTGGCTTCCCATGATCCAAGAGCACATATAAAGTTTTTAGCTCCTACACTACTGTCTAGTATTTTACTCTCAGTAGCTAACCCTGAATAAGTCTTGAGAATAATTTATTGGTGGTGCTTCTAGGTGTCAAGCCAGTGCACACGTAGCATGCCACATGGAAGCCCAAGCCTAATTTCCTGCATGGCCCCTCTAGCTAGCAGGGCCCCTAGGGTGAGAGTTGCACCCAGGCCAGCACAGAAGCTGGGCACCAGAGGCAACCCCACTGTCCGCAGGGTGCTCACCTTCTGCTGCTGTCTGGCAGCCAGGTCTAGAAACCCCTGCAGCTGCATGACGGTGGGCCCCACGCTGGGCACTCACTGGGTCCTGCCGTCATCGCTAGGGCTTCCACGGAGGAAGTAACTCTGAGCCCCAGGGCCCAATATCATTAAGGAGAAGCTCCCAGGAACCCAGCTGGCACAACAGCAGCACTTGGTGGCCCTTGATTCTGTAAGACAAAATAGTTTCTTGAGTGTGCCCAGAAGCCCAGTGACATTAAGCTCCAAGAAGGTTTCAGTGAGGTGCTGTGACAGTGCAGTTCTGCAAATGAAGACATCTGACCAAGAAGTGGAAAATCAGCTCTCGTGACCAAGTTACTTAGCATAAGAAGATACTGGAGAGTGAAAGCATGTGGTGTGACCACCAGTGACCCTGCTTTGGAATAGCAGGTGATCTTGCTCTGTAGGAAGGTCACTGAGATGGTTTTAGTTTGGGACTGTGTGAATTTGTGACCTCTGAAAACTGTTGTGACGTTATTTATGAGTTAATTAGAATACAGCAATTCTATTCAGTCAGAATGTCCTGGTACATTGTATTGACTTAGGTGGGGCCTGACCGTCCAGGCCAGATGCGAGGTGTCATCGTGAGGGCCTAGACAGCATGTGTCCCAGGGCTGAGCAGCCAGGTTTAAATCCTCCCTGGGCCACTGGGATTTTAGTTTGGTGCTTCAGTTTCTTCCTCTACAAAACGTACTCCTCAGACAGGGGGCTGGGTTCTCATGATCTGCTGTTATGTAATAAACTGTGTCTATTTTGGTGGCTTTAAGCAACCATTCTATTGTATTTTAAGATGCTGTGGGGTAGGAATTCAAGGATCTTAGAAGACTCTTCTGCTCCACGTGATATAGACAAGAATGTCAGAGCTGGTGGCTGGGCTTGTCTGGAGGGTCCAAGACAGTTTCTCTCCAAGGCTTGGTGTCTTTTGAACTACTTGCTCAACCCGTGCCTGGTGTGTGGTGGAATGATTGACAGGCTGGACCCACCCAGTCTCCTTAGCCTCTTCAGGTAGACTCTACAGCTGGGCAGTTGAATTTCTTCTTTGGAGGCTCAAAGCTCCAAGAGCCAAAGGCAGAACCAGCCAGTCCTCCCAGGGCTGAGGCCTGGAACTGGCAAGTGCCTTTGTCAATTAAAGCTGTCCCGGGCAGCAAAGGGCAAAGAGTCAAAGAACTACCAGCCATCTTTAGTCACCAAGGGGTCCCTCGGGGCCTGGGGGTTGGTGAGCTGGGGCACGAGTCAGCACTCCTTCACCCCAGGACCGGCTTCAGCGTGCTGTGCCTTTCCGCTCTTGTCACCTCCATCCACTTCACAGATGGGGAAACCAAGGCTTAGAAAGGTGACGTGGTTGCCCACGCCTAGACATAAATCTGCACATTTGCATCCTGGGATTTTCCAAGCTTACAGGACAAGGGAACACTCGTCGGCCCGTTAACCCATGACTCGGGCTTTGGGAATTTGATACGTTAATCCTGGGACCCGTGCAGCTGGTTCCCCTTGTTTTAATGGTCACGTGGTTTCTGATGTAGACCAACCTCAGAGGGAAGGTTCTCCTCGAGATGCCCCCGTGAGCATTTCCATCGGGGCAATTGGCCTTTATTATTGTGAATTAATATTTGACATTCTAAGGGGAGTTTGGTTTTGTCTCTCTTTGTTTTTATTGATGGGTTGGTTTTAGGCCACAAGGAAATATGTAGAATGTTTTCCTAAGACATTAGAACTTAGTTGAACGTTCACAATACCAGAACCAAAAGCGTTAGCCCTAAATGAACTTCAGGCTATTCTCTCAAATAATCCATGCTCCAAGATTTAAATTCTCTAGGTATAAATAAGATTCAGATGTAACCTTCAAAAAACATGGGTGAAATTGTACTTTCTAAGTATATCCTTAGGTTCTCTGTCAGTTACCAGTGATTTACAGGGACAGCTTCGGCCAGCCAGGGTGACAAAAGAGCATCCGGAGGGATGGTTAATATTTTCACTCCTGCCAATGTGCGTAAAGTGAGAATCCCTCGAAGTTGCTTGAACTGTGTTTCTGCGTGCTATCCTGGCATTCCTTCTAATCTGGTAAGGTTTGGTTATATCCTGGAAGCAACCAGGTAGCTTAAAGCAGTAGAACCATGAACACATTTTTACCAAAAGAAATACCCTAAGGAAAAGCCAGGGTGGAAAGGACCCTCCTAAGGACAGTTTCTCCAGCTCTGCTCCTGAGAACCTGGTTGGTGTCACCTAGGGTTGAGCAGCCGTCCGTCTGGGCAGGAGTGTGGGGAGACTCTGATCCACGTCACATGCGCTGTGCTTTCTTGCTGGCAGTGTCAGTGGGGAAAGTGAACCTGTGTCTGATTTTTCAGGTCTGTAAATAACCAATATTGCAAAAAGGTGATTGGAGGAATGGTGTGGAACCCTGCCATGCGGAGGTCCTTATCAGTGGAGCATCTAGAAACCAAGAGCCTGCCTTCCCGGTCCCCTCCTATCACCCCCAACTGGTATGTCCTCCTTTGTGCCACCCACCAACAGACACACGCTCTCTCTCTGCCTATAAATTCCTAAACACAGATGGCCTGCAGTCAGAGTCTCTGTGTGCATTTTGGGCTGTTGTAGAGATAACTGTTTTCCTGAAGTCTACAAGCCTAGCTGAACATTTCCATAGTATATAATGTTGAAATGTTCTTTAAAAATTTTTTAAATGTTTAAATTAACATTAACCGCACATCTTATGGGGTACAGTGTGATGTTCTGGCCCAGGTGTACAATGTGTAATGACCAGATCAGGGTAATGGATATATCCATCACCTCAAATACTTATCACTTCTTTGAGTTGGGAACATTCAAAATCCTCTTTCCTACTCACCTTGCAGTATACAGTTGCTGTCAACCACAGTGATCCCACTATACTAGAACATTGGAAGTTATTCCTCCTATTCAACTGTGTTTTTTTAAAAAACACATTCAATCTTAATAAATTTGGAAGCTGTCACCTGCGGAAATGCCTTCTTAACAGTTGTAGTGTGCGTTAATGTATTAAATGCTCTGAGAAGTCCTGTGGTGAAGAAGCACAAGTAACTTTATTTAGCCTTACATTTCCTGTTAATATCACACAAAGTAAACTTTGGAAATAGTCGATGAAAATATGTGATGTAAGTGAAGTGAGGCTGTGTGACCCTCAGCAACAGCAGCAAACACCCCCTTGGTGGGGGGCTGCTAACTTTTAAGCGTGCAACAGCTAAAAAGGAGGGAGATGTGAGCGGATGGGGGTGTGACTGGTGGAAGGGCCCTTGCCAACGTGCACAGGGCTCTGGGTTCCATCCCTAGCTCTGGAGCAAAGGAGTAAAAAGTAAGGATGTGGCCATTTGGGTTTGCAGCTGGAAGACCCAAATGCAGAGCTTAGCTCTTCTGCTAATTTAAGTTTATTTTTTTACCTCTCTGACCTCAGTTTTCCTTCTAGGTAAGGGTCATGAAAATTACCACAAGTAGTCATTTTATATTCATACAAGCAATTTTCTTAAGTTTGCTGTATATGAGTTTATTTAAATAGAGCCAGGTAGAATTTTTCTGTGACTGTTATATTATTATAATGGCCCCAAAGATACCAGCCCATTTTTGTGCCTGTCTGCAGAGAGGAGGCGTCAGCAAAACGGGAAGCAGGCAGGGAAGTCTTGCCCCAGCTCCACTTGGAATTAACAGTGTGGCTTTAAGACAGGAGAGCCTGTGAGTCCCTGAGCCAGGATCTCCGAGGACAAAGGGAAACTGGGACAGAGCCAGGGAGAGAGGCTGTCTGCAGGGCCTGCTGGGAAGGACCCTCTGCCGGGCGCCAGATGCCCTGAGCAGAGTGAAGATAATCAGAAATCAGGATCTGATGAATAGATTTGCTTCTTGGTTTCCAAGGTTTACAATGTTTTTATCTTCCAGGATTCTAAAGAGATACATTTATGCTCTATAAAGTAGCAGCTTCCTTTATCTGGAACTCTCTCTGGCAGCAGCACCAGGAACCAGAGAGCCCTGGGTGGGATCCAGAACAGCCGGGCTGGATATTGCCACCCTCGTGCCCTGGAGCTCTTGATGCTAATTATAGGCCCTCTCCTAAGAGAGTCATAGGACACAGCACTATTGATTGTTTGGACTCTGGGAGATGGCAAGTCATGGGGGTCCAGACAGTCCCTAGGAGAAATAGCTAACAGAGAGAGGGAAGATGGAAACCCCGTGAGGGAAGAGAGCATGCCCAGGACGACCTGCCGCAGGTGCCCAGGTGCTGACCCAGTGTTCTGAGAAAGTGTCTTCAGTTGGCTCGTTCTTAGTAGCCGTAAGTGCAGGGAAGGCCCCAAGGTACAGGGGACTTGCCTAAGGTCACTTGGTCACTGCTGCTGTTGGAGAGTAAGGCAGCACTTGGACATCCATCTCCCCACATGTGGCTAATAAAGGATGTAGTTTGAAAAGCAAACATTCCCTTCTGGGATCAAGTGAAATTCACACAAAAGGATGTACGTAAAGGAAACAAGGTTTGCGTTTTGCCAAGAAATTCACTTTGGCTCCTAAACTTTTTATTTACGTTGTTCAAATTGGCGAGAAAAATTTTGATTGGCACCTAGTATGCCGTCTTGACGCTAGGTCAACAGGAATAAGCTACCCGGCTCTGACTTGGTAGCAGCGTCAGCCCAGGCCTCCTTAGCAAGGCCAGCACACGATCCCCATCATTATGCCTGGCCAAATTCTCTGTGTCGAATTTGCTTTCAGCGCTTTGAACTTAACCTCTCCCCACCCAGGCGAAGTCCTCGGCTCCGGCACGAGATCAGGAAGCCCCGCCACTCCTCTGCTGATAACTTGGCGAATGAGATGACGTACATCACGGAAACTGAAGACGTGTTCTACACCTACAAGGGCTCCCTGTCCCCCAAAGACAGCGATTCCGAAGTTTCTCAGAACCGCAGCCCACACCGAGAGTAAGAACCTGTGGCCTTTCCTCTTCCCGTATCTGCTTCTTGGCTGTCCATTGAGGCATTTGCTCAGGTCCAAGGGGCCTTGAGAGCTGGTGCCCACAGCCAGCTCCCGAGGCTGCTCTCTGCCAGGATGAGAACACAAGTCAGAGCGGCCTGTCTGCACAGGGAGGCCACCTCTGGGCCCGGGTGTGGTGCTCACACTGCTTTTCATCTGTGACCGAGACCGACTCTCCATGTACCCGTCGGTCTCTCGCAGTCCCCTCTAGTTCATGAGCAAAGCTCATTTTAAATTGTTCCATGTTGCGGGGGAAGACTCCAGGGCTGTATCAACTACAGCTTCTTTAGACTGTTTGAGCTTCGCTGTGATTACGAATCACTGGGAAAGTGCTGAAAGCCTTCTTAGAACAAGAGTACGCCCTGAGGGATTTTGTTTTCTTTTCATGTTTAATAGTAAGAAGGAAAAAAACATGCTAGATAGAACATCCCTGATTGTCAAATTTTGTCAAGGACAGTTTGTTCTAAATCCCTCTATTTCCCACTCTTTTTTAATGTGACAGAGTCCCTTCATTGATAAGGCCAGGAAACGTATGTCTCTTCTAGAAGACTGGCTTGAATTCTTTGTTATTCAGTAACACGTGGCTAACCCTTAGTTCCCTTTTTACCTTGCTTACCAGGAAGCTCAGAGCTATGTGTTATGCTCATTTGCATTCACTTCCCTTAGCCCAGGTTTTTGATGGAGCCCCTTCTATTCCTTCCTTACCTTTCTTATACAGTTCTATCTATCTGTACATTTTTAGGGAGAGCTCTCTTAAGTCATTTTCTGTTTGTTTGTTAATATTTTCGGTTATAGGTGGACACAATAACTTTATTTTTATGTGGTGTCGATGATCAAACCCAGGGCCTCACACATAGTAGGCAAGTGCTCTACCACTGAGCAACCACCTCAGCCCTCTTAAGTCATTTTTGAAGTAGACAAGTCAGGGGTCATAAATTAAATGACTTTTTAGTTTAAAGTATGATGGGAAAGAAGGCACTGGTAGGAAATGAACTTTAGTCTTTAGGTGTCCATTCTCTTAAGCCCCAGCCTATGACCAAAATACAGAGAGGCGGTGCCTCCCCCTCACAGCAGAGGGTTAGCAAGCGGGCTCCGTGTTAATCTGTCCATGCTTGTCACTGAAGCTGGAGGCTTAGGGCACTAGGCACATCCTGATGGCGCCCAGACACTCGCAGGTGAACTGCAAATCTCCTTCCCACTCCCGTGCGGGAAGGCTGCCTCTCCTCTACCCCACCCACAGCAAACGTGGTCTGGTCTCCCGCTTATCTTCATTCTCAACGCCTCTGGTTAAATAATCCCTACGGTCATCATTTCCTTGTGACCTGAGCTTGATGGTGCTTTTCTTGAAATGATTGTGGAAGCCACAGAGAATGGGCATGAGTTCCTTTGGTGACCCTTGTGGCTTTGCAAACCACAAGCAAACCTAGAAGTACAGGCAGGAGGACAGGTGTGCGTGACCAGAGCCAGTTTGACTCCTCTGTGGGCTCCGGGCTCCGCTGCTTGGCCGAAGGAGAAGCGGGTGTAGGGAACTGCCTGAGGGCTCATGGGAACCCACGTGCCCTCCCCGCGCCAGAGCTTCCTGCTGTGGTTTGCAGCCCCCCGTGGGGGATCATAGAGCACCCTGACCTTCACTGCCCACTGGGGTAGCCACCAGCTATGGACATTCAAGGTAAAATGTCAGCATTCAGTGCCTCTGTCACAGAGGCCACATTTTAAATGCTCTGTCAAGCCTCGTGTAGGGAATGGCTCTCACATGGGACGGCACATATGTAGCCCACTCCATTTGTCACCGGAAGTGCCATTGATCGTACTCTAGACTGAAACTTTTTTCTATTATTCATTGAATGTGGAGTGAACTCCCAGAATGTCTCCAAGTAGAAAAGGCACTTCTCAAACACAAGTGACCTTTAAGTTGGGGACTAGCTGCTGGCTTGCCACTGGAGCTCTTCCTACCTCTCACCTGGCTGCTTGGCTATGGAACCAGGTGGCCTCTGGGCGCCTTATGGCCCAGCTCCCTCCGTCACTTCACTGTGTGGGGCGGGCCTGTGCAGGAGAGATGCCACTCTTCTTCACAAGAGTGGCTTGTGGCTGCTCCAAGATCCTGTGTCCCGCAGCACACCTCGCATCCTCCGCTGACCATGGAGGGGGAAATGTGGAATCACATCAGACAGAGCTTTGCCTTCGGGCACCAGCTGGGCCCTGGCACCTTATCAGCCTCCATGGTCACACTATGGGGCTCTGCTGCTTTGGAGAACTGTCGCAGGGTTCAGGGAAGCCCAGGCAGCTGCACGTCCTACATCAGATTTTCCCACTGGTCTGCATTCTGTGGAATTGTAGTACACCTAGGCCATCATGGCCCAGCAGGGGTGCCACCAGCCACAAGGGCTGTTGACATTTATGTTTATGAAAATTAATGAACACTCACTTCCTCAGGCCTGTTGACTTCAGTGAGTTCTGGCCCTGCCCACCCCTGCGCAGAACACCCTGATTCTCTGAAACGCCTCTCTGAGACCCTGTACGAGCTCTCTTCCAAGAACACTTTTTATTTTGCATCTAAATATTAAAAGTAGGGTGATTTAATGACAGCCTTCCTGCTGGGGTTTTGCCAGGGGCGAGGACCCTGGGTGCGAGTAGATGTGTTACAGGAGGCCCGGAAACTGGGGAAACCAGCACCCCTCACCTCAGCTAGCCAGGAGACCTCTTCCTGCCGTGGGAAGCCTCTCTGCTGGGGCTCCAGAGGCCACCAGCTTTCCTGAGAGCCGGGGGACCCTCCGCTGCCCCAGGCAAGGAGGGCAGGCTGGTCTGTACTTGGTGAGAAGAGCTGTGTTGGTTCCTTCACTGAGTATTTGCAAAATGTTTAAGAAGAGTTTGACATGTTTTCCACAGCACATTTGTGTTAAGAGGCAAAAAGAAGCATTCTGTCAGAGAAATCAGATGAATAATACCACGGGCGGCGAGGAGGGTTTCTTTGAAGAGGAAGCATTAAGTGTAATGTTCTGTACTTGCTTAAAGACAAAGAAGCAAGAGAGAGAAAAAGTGGTTGGGCTCTGGCTCTCCACCCAGAGCAGCACAGCCGGGCTGTGGAGCATGGTCCTCGGCACCTTGCACATGACTCATTCATGACTCACTCCGCCTGTTCCGCATTCACAGCGGCACAGAGTTTACGCTGGTGCTCTGAGGCCTTGGCAGTTTGCTTTGGGCCCAAGCAGGCTGTTCATGGCTGCTGTCTCCACGGCTCTACCAGCCATTCTCATCCTTTCCTCGATTCCAGGGGAAGAACAGATTCTACAGAGAAGTCAGCTTTCCTCCTGGCCATAATAGCGAAAGGGACCCCACCTCCCACGCCCCACCCAGACCCAGCAGAAAACCTGCCTTGCCGAGCCCAAGCCCCGGGAAACTCGGCCCAGAGCAAGTTGGGGCTGTGTTCAGAAGACCTTGCTCTTACTTTATCATGTCACCAACACGGACACCCCTCCTGAGAACACTGCTGCTTAAAGACAAAGAAGTCTCTGCTTATTCCCACCCCCCCCCAGCCTGACTTCTTCCGCCAGGTCTGGGGCAGGTGTCACTTTTTATTTCAGAACCTCCCTGCATTGAGAGGGACCTTGGGAATCTCCTCCTTCAGTGGCACTAACATCCAGGCCCCCAGGGCCGGAGGACCCCACCATTGATGGGAAGCTCCCCTGCAGCATGGCCGCACCCTCTTCTGGACACTTGGGTGTCAGGGCAGCCAGGGCAGTGGGCCCGTTCTGTCCATAGGTTCTGCCTCCACGGACCCAGCTGACCACCTGCATGTCCAGTGTGCAGTCAGGCCTGTGAGGGTTGCTGCATCTCTACCCAAACACGTCCCAACTGTTTTCCTTCTTGTTATTCCACCAACAATACAGTGTCACAGCTGTCTCTGTGCCTTCTGCGTTGCATTTGGTATTACAGGTTAACTAGAGATGATTTAGGGTCTGTGAGAAGATGTGCATCGGTTGCGTGCAAATACCGTGCCATTTGACGTAAGGGACGGGAGTGCTGTAGACGTGGTGTCTGCAGTGGTGGGTGTTACAGGCAATCCCCCATGGACACCGAGGGCAACTGTCCTTCAGGACTGCTGGATGTCACCTTGATGTTGACCTGGTGTACAGGTTCCTGCCTCAGTCCCCTGGAGCCACAGGTGTGGCATCTTTCCAGATCCACCTGAGGGCTCCGGCTCCTGTTCTCCAAGTTAAGCAATCCCAGTTCCTGTGGCCCCTGCCCTCTCCCAGTGTACGTCAGCCCCTGAGATCCAGGAGATTGAGAGGACCTGTGTCCGTCTGTCTTCTTGGGGCACCAGCCAGGGAAGTATGTTTGTGTCCCTGAGCCTTGCCTGTCCTTTGCTGGGTTTTGCCCACTTACGTGTCAACCGCGTGCCCTACCTGGGCTCTCCGTCTTCCCCTGCACCTGGCTGAGGGAGGTACTGCCTCTAAGCCCCCCCTCCACCTGCCGGAAACGTCAGTCTTCCTCTGCTCCTGTCTTTCTTTCACCATCCTCATCTAGTCTCTCGTCTTGTTTCTTCCACCTCCAACGCAAATCTCGAGCCCGGTGCAGGAGGGCGTCGTGCCCCATCTTCCTTTCGTGGAAGCCCTCCCATTTCTCATTTCTGATCTTCAGAGAGATGCCCTCTCCCGAGGCTTTGTTTGTGATGCCTGTTGTATGTACGGTTCTCAGACATCTGGCATCTTTCCCCAGGGTCACGGGCACAGTCCAGACCATACTGGCCACTGTGGTTCCTGGAGGAGAGGGATACTCTCCTTGGTGTCCCCCTGCCCCCTGCCTCCTGTCTCAGGGCTTTGGCTTCTGCTCCTCCTCCCCAGTCACGAGCTTCACCCACCCACGTCTTCTTGCCTCCCGCATCCTACTCCTTCTCTGCTCCCGTCACAGTAACTTCTTTGGAACCCGGCTTCACAGGGCATCTCCCCTCCCTGTCCCTTTCAGTGGCACCCACGTCCTGCCCAGAGAGGGAGGAAGCATCTTTGCCCCAAGCACTCTATCTAGCTACCACTGTCTGATTACTTTCTCTCTGTCCATCCGTCTTGCATACCAAGCAGAATGTCACCGGACCCTGCAGGGAACCTCTGTATGCAGCTGGTCAGGCCAAAAAGAATATGTACATTTGTGTACATAAGTTACCATCTAAAGTCACTTCCAACCATATTGGAAAATGCGCTGGGGCACGGGATGGATTTGGAATGTCACTGGTACTAGTCCTAGTAGCGGCACTAGTGTTATTTAGCACCGTGAACTCTTTTAGACTACTGAGTTTTATATTGGCAAGAGAAAAATATTTTGAAATCTCATATAATAAAACCTACAAATTTAGAAAAAATTTCAATTAACCATAATATTCACTAATACCACTTAATTGAAATTAGTCTGTTGGCTTGTTCATCAGCCCTGCTTTTCTTTTTTTTTAATGTTTACTTTTTTAGTTATAGATAGATAAAATATCTTTATTTTTATGTGGTGCTTAGGATTGAACCCAGCGCCTCATGCATGCTAGGCGAGCGCTCTACCTCTGAGCCACAATCCCAGCCCCTCGGCCCTGTTTTTCTGTTCGTGTGCCTGCCTTTCACTCTTCCCATGGCTCACCCACCCCCTGGACTCCTGCAGACATTTGAAGTATGCGCACGATATCAGCAGCTTCTTCCCATTAAAGGTTCAAGTGCATCGCTAGAACTGGAAATAGCATCTCCTACGCCTTTGGCTTCTGCAGTTGCCCTTCCTGCCATCGGGTGGTGCTCTTATAAGCAGTAAAACAGGCGGGGGTGTGTGGCCGGGGTGGAGCCTTGCCAGGCTGGGTGATACCCTGGGTTCAGCCCCCAGCACTGCAAAAACATAAATCAACAAAAAGACCAGTAAAACAGCCATGTTGCCTGAGTTGGGGGCAAATTTTTTGAAATCTTATTTTTAAGTGAATCAGAGTCTCACTGTCAGTGTGAAAACACACCCAGCATACAACTTCAGCTCCCAACACCCTCTCCTGAAACGCCTTCCCGCCCCAACACCCTTTTCCTGCCAGCAGCAGGAAAACCACAAGCCAGATCTTTCCCCTCCTGTTTCAGCATTGGTCTGTCGCTGAATATTTTCTTCAATAAATGGAGATTGCGAATTATTCTGTGTGAATAGGTACAGATTTTCCGTTTAACGTAAGCTGATTTGGGCCAGGCGTATGGCTCAGTGCTAGAGCAAGCACGCACTTGCCTGGCAGGCCCGAGGCGCTGGGCTTCATCTCCACCACCGCAAACAAACAAGAAAATGCTAATCAGAACTTGAGGAAAGAGAGAAGATGGTATTAATGAAAAGCCCCCGGACAAGGCCTCGAAGGAAAGGGTTAGTGAAGGTGGGGCCGCCCGCCCGCCGTCTTCGCCATTGGTGGTTCAGCCTTCTCCATTCACCTCTCCCTGGGTGAGACTGGGGTGCAGCAGAGTCTGTAGGATGTGGGGAGAAGCCATACTCCCGGGCCTTGTGAGACACCTGTGTGAGGTCCATAGACCAGGGTGGGCAGTACAGACACTGAGCGTCCTGTCCCATACACTGATGGCAGGGGTGGTTGATCTGTGGTCCTGTGAGGTTAGAAACAGGAGTCTTAAGAGCAGACTTGGCATCATGCAAAGCCGAAGGGAACACTCAAGACCATCAGAATGAGTGTGAGGGGAAAGCTGTGTGACCCTAAGGAAGTTACTCAGCCTCTCCGGACCTTGGCATCTTCCTCTGTGAGGTGGAGTTGGAGCAGATGACCACAGAGGCCTGATCAGTTCTAAACATCTGTAATTGTCCAAGACTGCACTGTCTCACAGAACCTCTGTGATGTGAGAAAAGTTCTGTGGCTGCCCTCCAGCTTGGAAGGCACCGACCACGTCTAGCCAATTGAGTATTTGAAACGTTGCCAGCACAACTGAGGAACTGACTTTTCATCTTAAGTTATTTAAATAGAAGGACCATGTGTGACAGAGGCTGCCATATTGGACAGTGAGCGGCAGGTCCAGGAGAACCCACGTTAAATACAGAAAGGCAAAACAGGAGCTCAGTGAGGGCAGCCCATGGATGTCAGACATAAACTAGGAATGCTAGTTGTCCTCAACGTGCAGCCGTCACCCTGCTTCCTTTGGGTGGCCGGGATCCCATGGAGCAGAGCTGTCGGCAGGAATGAGGTGGAAGGAGAGTGTCCTTCAGAGGATTTGGGGACATGTGCATTTGCACGGCCTGGCCTGGCAGAATCTGGATCAGTACTGAACCCTAGAGCCAGGCACAGTGCTGCACACTTGTATTCCCAGCACCTGGAAGGCCGAGGCAGGAGGACTGCTCAAGTCCAGGACTTCAAGGCCAGCCTGGACACCATAGCAAGACCCCATCTCAAAAAAAAAAAAAAGTTAAATCACCAGAGTAGCTGGACACATTTTGCCCAGCAGCCTTCTAAATGGAAGAGAAACCCAGTCTTTAGCAGCTCATGCATCCAACTTGCCCTCCTGTCCCTCTGCCCCCAAACTTAATGTGCTGTGTATAGGCCAGACCAGGGCAGGCGTGGCCGGAGGACTCTGCATGGGCCAGACCCCCGCAGAGGACCTTTGCAGCTCAAAGGTTCCAGAGATCCATGACACTGGTCCCCAAACAAGTTGGTGATGTTTGCATTAATAACATTAATCCAGGTATTAAAATATCTCCTCCTCCCCCACGATGAAGGAGCCTATCCGAGAGCAATCCAGCACAAAGCTGCCGGACCCAGAAGTCATCCAGTTCTGTGTCTCCATCTTCAAATGCTCCAGGCTCCTGCTCACCTGATGGGGTCGACCAGCAGTTTTTGGAGGACTACAACAGGGTGACCAAGGGAGGGTCCACCGAGGACGCCAGCCAGTACTACTGTGACAAGGTGAGCCAGCCCAGGTCCCGCCACGCCTAAGTGACCTACCCCTTGTGAACAGGCCACTGGAAGGGCAATAATGTAAACGATCACTTTCCCATGTTTTCTAGAATGATAATGGTGACAGCTACTTAGTCTTGGTCCGTATCACACCGGATGAAGATGGAAAATTTGGATTTAATCTTAAGGTATGTCATGTGTATTTATTTGGTAGGTTTATGCTAGGAAACCACTTGAGGTGAATTTTAATTCCCATTAAACATGTGCTGCATAGCTAAGCTGCATAGGGAAACTGGCTCAGCCCTCCAGATGGGGAGTGTTTAGTGTGACCGAGGCTGCTGCTACCTCCTCTGTGCCCAACACTTGCTGCACACTAGATTTATATCACCTTATTGAGCTCTTAAAATAAGCGGTGAAGACAGTATTTTTTAAACCTACCTCACAGACAGATACTAAGGCTCAGAGACATGGAGGCACTTGGTTGGCAAGCAGATCTACCCCCTCAAAGGGCTTATGAAGAGAATCCCACAGCATCGCTAAAGCTGATAAGAGAAAACGGCTCTCCAGGGTGCGGGGCCTGTCCCATCCTCTGGGCGCCTCGGAGCAGTCTGCACATGGTGGCCCGTAGGCTGGATCCCATCTGTTCTGTAGTGTGGTGGGAACAGCCTGGCCCGTCCCTTTGCAGATTGGGATGTGGCACAGAGTTCAGCAGTTGCTGCAGAGCCTCTTTCCCATGAAGTCTGAAATGTTGGCTCCCAGGCCCTCCAACCACCAACCTACCAGCCGCCACCCCCTGCCCTGGAGCCCGTGAGGGCAGCTGGTCTTTGCCAGCCGTCCGCGGCGGCCCTCGTGCACATCTTTCTCAGCACCCAGTGGCCCTGCCCACACGACGTATGCCCCTTCCTGAGGCCTCACCTGCCCGCCCTGAGAGCTCCCATTTCTGTCCGCTCGTGGGGCCCTCCTGGGGTGCAGCGCTGCTGACAGGGAGCTGGTACCCTCTTCACCTCATCACCAGGGGGGTGTCGGGACTCCTCTGAACAGTTCTGATGTCCCCTCCGCAGAGAAGCCAGCAGGGTGTTCCCTAGGTCTGAGAGGGGTGCCGCAGGCTGCGAGCAGAACAGGTCCAGGTCTGAGGCCCCCACGGGCCAGAAGCCTGGCTTCATTGGTGTCTACTGTTTGTCACTGTGAACTACTCAGTGTCATTTCATGCTGACACCTTGACAGGGTGGAGTGGATCAGAAGATGCCTCTTGTGGTCTCAAGGATCAACCCCGAGTCACCTGTAAGTAGACGCGTCCCCGTGCAGTCTCCACATTTGCTTCCCCAACACCTGTCGGGTCTCTGCCTGTCCCATTTCTTTTTGCGGCAGTGGGGTGTAAGTCCCCCCAGGCAGACGGAGGGAGCGGGACTCGGGTTTGCTAAAACCCTGCTGCTCGGCGGGCCCTGGAGGCTCGGCACCCGTGTCACCTGGGGCCTTGTCAGACAGCAGAGCCTCTGGCCCCAGCCCAGGCCTGAAGAACCAGAGTCCGAGTTTGGGTGATCTGTGTGCATATTCAATTTTGAGAAGTACTGTGGAGGGGGGACGCTGAGGCAGAGTCTGCCGCTGTGCTCGCTTTGAGCAGGATCACAGACCTTGAGCCCCTTCCCACCGTCTCCCCACCAGCACCACCCCAGCCCTCCACATCTCTGGCGTTTTTTTCTTCCTAGTTGCTGTGCTTGTGTATGCGGAGGGCATGCAGCACAACACGATGCTCAGACACAGGCACAGTGGACGGATGCCCACAAGTAGACTCAGGGGTCCGTCACGCTCCGAAGCTGCCTGGTGATGGTTTGCTTTTTTAAAGTGGTAGAACATCGGAGTCTCTTCTAAGAAGGGGCCCACCACAGGTTTTAACTCTTGAGCAGTCTGTCCCCAAGCCTGTCGCTGTCCTGGTGTTGCTCTTTGTGGTTTCTGGGGATTCCTGGGCTCTTACACTCATCACATCGCCCCGCAGCAGCTCCTGCCCCTGGTGTGGTGCTGACGAGGGCCTTCCCTCTGCAAGCCACGGCTGCGCCCTCACTTCCAGCTGCCGGCTCCTTTTCTAACAGCACCTCGGGCCTTATCCTGAACTGCTTCCTAGCTCACACTCTGAGCAGCACTTCTGTAAAATCCCACGGACACCTCCCTGTGCCCGTACCAGAGGGTAAAACGAGACAGTGACGTGGTGGCAGTCTCAGGTGTCCAGGACCAGGGAGCCTGCGGCCCCTGGAGGGAGGTGTCATGGTAACGGACGCTCGCTTTCCTCCATGCAGGCGGACACCTGCATTCCCAAGCTGAACGAAGGGGATCAGATCGTGTTGATCAATGGCCGGGACATCTCCGAGCACACCCACGACCAGGTGGTGATGTTCATCAAAGCCAGCCGGGAGTCCCACTCGAGGGAGCTGGCCCTGGTGATCAGGAGGAAAGGTAACAGTGCCTGCGGGGGGAGGAGCCACGGGGACACTGTCCAGCCCATTCTGTGGTTGGAAAACACGGGGTGTGTAGCCAGCGTCTGAAAATCGAGAATTTTCCCAGAGCAATGAGAGTGTCTCGTTTCTCCCTGGGAAAAGGTGAAGATCTTCCTCCCCAGAGCCTGACCCCTCCAGGCTGGTGCTCTGAAGAGAGGCAGCCCCAACACCACTTTACTCCAGGCTGCAGCCCCGGATTCCTCCAGCTCAGGCACAGCTCAGCCCCCGTCAGGCTCTCATCCGCCTGGTCCTGCGGAGGGTCCCTTGGATTTCACTGGTACTTGCTCAGGTCTGCTGGGCCGGCCCTGAGGCTAGAGGGGTGGAGCCAAATGTCCCCGGAGATTCCTGACTCCACCTCCTGGTTGAGCTTTAGGGACCTTGAGCAAGTTACAGCCCCAGCCTGCACTTGTGTTCCCCGAGAGTGACTTGAGGACTTGACAGTGCCCTCCGCAAGGGTGCTTGTGAAGATTAAGGATGCTCACCCTGGGTGCTGTCTGCACTGTGGAAGGTGTTTGAAGGAAGGCCTCTATGGAGTGTCATCTCTTTTTTGGGGTGGTACCAGGGAATGAACTCGGGGCCCTCTGCCACACCCCCAGCCCTATTTTGTATTATATTTAGAGACAGGGTCTTGCCCACTGCCTGGCAAGTGTCATCTCTTGAGGGCCTCCAAGGAGTTACCATTGTTGTTCTGAATAACAAGCCAAGACCCGTGAGTCCCCCGACAGCCTTCAACACTGGTGGTAGATGAAGGTGTGACTGCGGAGCCCCAGACACGCGGCTCTGCCCTGGCTCACGCCTGCTAGGCAGCTCCACCCTGCCACTCTCTGCTCCCAGCAGAACTCCCAGCCCAGAGCCAGCATGAACCCACCTCCCTGGGAGGCCGTAGGAGACCTCTGATCCCCTCTGCAGCCTGACGGGCACACAGTGGGGGTCCACAGGACAGTAGCTGGTGTCTGGGTCATGTCAGGCGAGGACCTCGCCCTGGGTCAGTGGCTTCCCATTGTATCCTCCTCCACTCTCATGACTCCCGTGTGACGTGGGAATTGTCACCCCAAGTAGAAAACAGGGAAATCATATCACAGGTGAAGAAGTTTCCCCTCTGCCACGTGACTGATAAGGCCACATGATGACAGGAGTCTGAGGAATCAGTGGATGGAGCCTCCAACACATAGACCTGGGTGTCCCCGGTGGGCACAGGAGGCCTCCTCCACTGGCCCCTGGCTGGTGCCTCTTGAGGTGAGGAAAACCAGTGAATAGAGACTGTCAGAGCTAAGGAGCAAGGGCTGCCGGATTTCCAGTAATGGTAATGTTAAGCTTATTTCTAACATAAGCATTTAAGTAAAAAAAATATGAACTGAGCCAGGCACATAATGTTCCCCTAGAATCTCGGGTCCTCAGGAGGCTGAGGCCAGAGGATCACAAGTTTCGTGCCAGCCTGGGCCATGTAGCAATACCCCGACTCAAAAATAAGTAAAAGGAGCTAGGGATATAGCACAGTGGTGAAGAGCCTCTGGGTTCAATCCCCAGTATTTATATTAAAGAAAAAGTGACCAGTCAACTTTGGCACAGGAAGCTGTAGATAGGGTCAAAATCACATCGTACAAGAAGAGCCAAGCTATGGTCCACGATAGAGTCAGACAGACACGGACCGATTTCCCATGCCCTACCCGAATGATTCGCCCCATCCCAGGAGCCCCATTTCCTTGTCTGTGAAACGGGACGAACAACAGCACATTCAGAATTGTGAGGATTCAGTTCCACTTTGTGGGGAAACTCGAGTGTTTAGTTCTCCTCCCCTTTCCTGTGATCGTGAAGGCAGTAGGGAGCCACTGAAGGCTTTTGAGGGAGTGACTTACCTTTCTGAGTGAAAAGGGAAAATTCAGAAATGATCCCAAAGTCTCCAGCCTGGGAGAAGGAGAGAAAGTAGATATAGACATAGATACAGGCAGGTCTGTAAAAAAGTAGAAGTATTTCTTCCCCTGCTGAGTTTGTCAAGAAAGGAGAATGTGGGCCTAAGGAAGCTGGACTAAAAAGCACAGAAGATGTTCCTTGGGAGCTTCCCACGTAGAGACTGGGCTGTTGAGTGCGAACTTGGGACCCTCCCCCAACCCCAGAGCCTGGAGAAATGGCATTTAAGGGAAATAAATGAAAAAGGACCCAAGAAGGGAGAAGTACGGGGATGGTGGGAAAACAACAAGGTCAGAGAACAAATGAGAAAATTTGCCCTAAGAACATTCTTCCTCCTTTCCTTACCTTTGGCAAAAAGCCCTCGAGTACTAAACGCAGTCGTTTAAAACTAACCAGAGATCAGATGTTGTTGACGTGAGTGACACATACTGGGTCATTCACCTGGAAAAGAGGTCTCGGTGGAGGTGGTCACCACGTGCTGATCCACTCAGTAAGACATTTGAACACCTGTGCCCAGCTGCTGCAGGGTCCTCCTTGGAGGGGAAACCAGTAGCCAAGTGCCGGACGCCTCTGTCTTGTTCTTCCAGCTGTCCACTCATTCACCGAGATCAAATCTGAAGATGAACTGAACCAGCTTTTCCCAGAAACCATTTTCCCCATGTGTCCGGAGGGTGGGGACACTTTGGAGGGATCCATGGAACTGCTAAAAAAAGGCCTGGAAAGCGGGACGGTGCTGATCCAGTTTGAGGTAAGAGGCTGCCCAGGCCACGCCACGCACCTGCGAGGCCACCCTGCTACCCCTGAGCGGCTCCCGGCGAGGCAAGACACAAGCCCTCGGTTCTGCAGTCGATGACTGTGGTTCACAAACCTCAAACGGCAGAGTTGCCACAGGCCACAGCCATGGGCCATCTCCTAGGGGTGGAGCAGCACAGCAATGAGGTCCAGCAGGCCCGTGAGGACCTCAACCATGGCTGAATTCAGTCTCGCCCTCTTCTGATAGCATTCAGTAGACCTGGAGGGACAGGTCAGCAACTGGGGAGGAAGGACTCTGAGCTGATTAACTACCAGCACAAAAGCTCAGACTCCACAGTGGAAGGAAGCAGGAGGCAGTGGGGCCAGCTCTCTCACCCCCAGCCCAGCCGCCCTGGGCATCCAAGCACTTAGCGTCTTCCCATGAGGACACAGCCTCTCCCCCTCCCCACTATCTCAACCACAGAAACCAAAGCCAGACCCCATCTTCCCCAGGAGGCGCAGTCTGTGGTACCAGGAGTGAGGCTGCCGACAAAGGCACCCACCGAGGCCTTTTACCAAACCAAAGATGTCCATTAAGGGATCGAAATTCGGGTGCATCCATCTTCCAAATTTATTTAAAGGTAGAAGAAAGCAGATTAGCTCACACACTGAGAGAGTAGAAGGAACACAAAGGAACGCAAAATAGGCCAGCGAGAAACCAGAGCCTGGTCAACAGCACGCGGAGTCTGGGTTCATAAATTAAGGACGAGCATCTCAGATGGATTCAGGCACACAGATGGCGTTTATTAAAAAGTCACAGAAGCAAAAGTAGGAAGTTTGGCCAGTGCGTGTGACTGCAGAGGGGTTCAAGAAAGCAGGAGGAACATGAATATCAAACAAAGACGCAAAGCCACAGCTCTGAGAGGAAGGTCTGTCTCCCGGTGGTGCAGGGCATAGAACATAAAAATACACCACAGCAAAACAGGTTGAGCAGCAGCAGAGAGCAAAACCCATAGCCCAGAAGGCAAAGATAACTGATCCCTAAAAATCTCAGTAGGGAATTTTAAACTTTTAATTAGCTACCTTGACAGGTAACATAAAACAAAAAAAAAAAATAATAAGTTCCTATCTTGTGGAAATGAAATCTGGATAAGAGAACAGTAACATAAACACTCTCCAAAGTAGATAACACAAGGAAGAACTCGCAACCCATTTGTTGGTGATCTCAGTTTTATCCTTCTTGTTTTAATATCGGGGAAGGAGGGGAGGGAAGAGGCACCATGGAGTCGATCACCCATTCAGCCCAGTGGCAGGTACTTCCCAAGGGCCTAACTCTACATCTGGGTCTTAACGAGGGAAGAAGGGGGTTTCTGGCTGCAACGGACTCACCATCTAATTTTGGTGTGTTTGGAGTCGAGATGTATCATGAGTCAGAAACAGCTGAAGGCCAAGGTAGGGTAAGATTTTATTACACAAATAGTTCATACCAGGGCAGCTGGAAGAGAAGGTTCCAGGTGGTCCCTGGGGTAAGATGTGGGATTAATAAGGGATGGATGGGACTAAGTGAGAAGGGGAGGGAATTCAGGAGGTCCTGCTCAGCTGAAGCCACAGAGGTCAGGTGGCATAAGGAAGTACCAGGAATCTTGGCTGGCCCCAGACGAGGGAGAGCCCTGGACCCGGGAGAGCTGTTCTGGCTGATGCGGTGCCGTGGCTGGGCCTGGGGAAAGCTCCGAGGCTGGCCCTGCCCCGGCTTCCTAAGGCCTCCTCCACGCCCAGCCTCTGCTTTGATGTATTTCCCATATGGGCGTCTCCATTCGATGGACCCTGAAAAGTGTTCATCAACTTTTTAAAGAAGTTTTAAAACGCCTTGCCACCCCCTAGTGTTTCTCAAAGGGTGACCTCTGACCACCTGTATGGGAGTCACCTGGGGAGCTTGTTAAACTAGGGCACTGTCCACAGCTACCAGATACTGGTGCTTTAACAAGGTCAGCTGAGGTTCTGATGCACAAGCTGATGTGGAGAGAAGAGGGTGGAAACCTATCAGGACCTTGCCCCCTGCCGCCCATCCTAGTCTACTCGTGGAGAGTAAGAAAGTAGCAGAAGAAGGAAACAGAAAACACATACATCCATAAGAGGGTTAAATTTTAGCCTGGACATATGTTTTTTTCATTTCGTCTGTAAATTTTCTAGATATTAAGTAGGAAATCCTTCTTTTTAAATAAGCTCTTTTGCAGAATTCCAAAATACCAAGCAGTTAAAAGCAGATCCGCTCTGTGGTGAGAGCCCTGCCTCTACCATCGTCCCTCCTGGCCTCCCAAGGAGCCCTCGGGTCACTGAAGCATCACATGCAGATGTCCTCCGCAGCTGCTAGAGCAGTTTGGTTCAG